AGGAGGGGGGGTTGGTAAAACGTGGTAGGTAGGTAGGTACCGGTAGGTGAGTGGTGGTGGTGGATGTTAAGATATTGATTGATACTAACGAAGTGTCAATAAATAAGTAAATGAGAATGAGAATGAGAATGAGAATAAGAATGAGAATGAAAGAAAAAATAACTTTTTTGTTTGGTAGGAGGAGGAGGAGGAGGAGGAGGAGGAGGAGATTTGACAAAGAAGGAAGAAAGAAGGGTTTGTTTGAATGATTGAATTAATTGAATGAATGGATGGATGGTTTTCTTTGGTCTGGTCTTGCTTGTCCCGCCTGCTTAAGCAATCGAATCGCATTTGTCGATTCACTCCTCTGTGTATATACATTATATTCATATATACATACATATCCATAAGAAAGAAAGAAAGCGCAGCAGCAGCAAGAACCGCAAAAGCCCCCAAATCAGAGAGAACTCTTGTTTCCACGCCGCTCTCCCTTCTCCTAATTCTCACCTTCAAAGCCCGAGAACGAATTTTCTGGTGTAACCAATATTTTTTTTCTCCTTACATACTTACTCGTTCGGGATTTGACTTGATTAAATTTGATACTCAAAAGACTCACTCAGCAAAGGCCAAAAAAAGGGGAAGCTTCCATGCGGAAACCCCGGGGATTGAGCCCGAGGTGGGGCTCGAACCCACGACCTTGAGGTGATCTTGTACTGCTTTGTGATAAGAGCCACACGCTCTACCGATTGAGCTACCCGGGCGAGCGGGCTGATTTGCATGCCCACCAGTGCCGGGTATGGATTAATATCGTCGGTAAAAAATTTGTACAGGTTTTGTGGGGATCGGGAGAAGTGGTGGGGGCGAAGTGGTCTTGTCTGGTGGGGTGGGCTGATTGGTGTGGCCCACTGGTGTTGGGTGGTGGCGCAAGTCTGTCACGGCACTCTAGTCTCTACGTAGCGAGGTCGGAGAGTTTGGGATCGTGATGGTTCGCTTAGGATGTCGTCGCTTCCGTGCCTATTTGGGTCGGGGTACCTAGTTGGGTAAGCGAGTTTTTGCACGGAGTTCAAGGACAGTGCATTCGTTGTGAGAGTCCGCAGGTTATTCTACTATGAGGCAGCGCACTGACTATTACAGTACTCAAACGAACGGACTGCTCGCTCGCACGGCGACTATTTGTGATCAACACTTCACTTTGGTCGGGCTTCGGTCACTGTCAGTAACGGAAGGGAAAGAAATATTCTGTAAATATTTTGTTGGGTACAGTATGTCGTTCAGAATGCTACATTCATTCATGTAGGCAGAAAGAAGCGGCCAATTGACGCCGTTCCATGCCATGCTAATTGCTCGCTACAAATCTCAGAGGTACCCAGTACCTCAATGCTATTTCGTAGGATCCAAAACGCTTTCGTTCGTGTGATATCCAAAACGCCTCCCCCTCCAATACACTGATTCGCCAGCCGCTGGAAAACCCATCCATTTCATAGTCCTCTGATCCATCACATGGCTGCATACACCACCCCAGCCCCAAAAGCAGCCACAGCACCGATACTTATCGGCGCCGCAGTTCTCTGCGCTGCGCCTTTCGAAGTCGCAGTTCCCCCAAGTCCGTTCGTCCCAGTTTTTCCGGCGGCATCACCGCTATCTGCTGCCACTGGGTTTGAAACGGCTGTTGCATCGGGCACGGAAGCCGTCCCTGTCGTGATCTCGACGACGTTCGAGATGGTCGAGTTGAAATTCGTTTGCGCGAGAGATATCTCGTTGTTGGCCAAGTCGTAGACGATGTAAGCCGACCGGATAAAGGTGTCGCCCAAGACAGAGGTGTCGGATCCTGCTGGTGCGATTCCAAACAGACAGGATGGTGTGCCGTCGGAAAAGGTGAGCGGTCTCCCGCTGGCGGATTCCGCGGGGATGACAAGTTCGTTCATGGGAACTGCAATGACCGGTCCGGAGAATTTGAAGTTGATGGTAGTGGTCGCTCCTGCTAGGGAGCAAGGTACGTAGGCTACATCTTCGGAAGATTCGTATTGGGCGTCGATTTGCTCGTAGATGGCCTCTGCTATGGGGTCCGGGAGGTATGTGAGGGAAGATCCTGAATCGAGCAGCACAGCTTGAGCCTGGTTGCTCGCGATTACCGTGTCACCAAAGCTGACTTCTGTGAGAGTGATGAGGAACTCGACGTAGGATCCGCGCTCGGCCTGGACTGGAAGGCTCTGAAGCGATCCGGTGTACTTTCCTGTATCGACTCCCCCAAACAAGATGCTGCCTGTATTTGCATCAAGATCGTTCAGCCATAGACTGTAAGCGCTCGACTTGATGAGTCCATCCTCCACCATTTGCGACGGCAAATTCCTGTAAGCCTTCTGCCCAGCCCTCCCAACCTGCACTTCGTTGATCTCATACCCGATTCCCAAGATTCCTTCGTTCGTTGAGCTCGTGTAGCCAACTCCAAACTGCAAACTCGCTAGACTTGTCGTACCGACTGTGAATTTATCCGTCACATAATCTCCTGAGGCGCCTGATCCATCTACATAAGAAATATTGAACAAACTCGAGACGTAGGAATACGTGGACGAAGAGTTGGCTGAATATGTACCTGCAAATGCGCATGGACTCGTTCTTGATTTGCATAACTTCGAAGACGCTGCATTTACCCAAAGATCGCTACTCCCCGTGTCGAGGTGTAACCGGAAACTTTGTGCTGGTGTTCCCAAAGTGGCATTCACAAAATATAAAGTTTCCTTGACACCATCAGTACAGAACGTCTCCAAGACCATGTCTTACACTCACTTCATTGTCCAACGTTACCTGTACAGTATCGGCCCTCCTCCGTAACCTGTCCCTCGCGACTGGATTCGGTATCGTATTCCTCTCGATTGGAAAACCTACAACCCTCGGTGGTCCGCTGGTCCTCTTCTGTAATTGGATCGCTCCCGTACATGATGATAACAGACTTCCCCAAATGGCCAGCGTCGTCTTAAACCCTTTCATGATTATATAAAACAAGATCAAGTTAAACACAGGCAATAGATACCCCTTCTTCCTGGAGACGGCGTTCCCAGACTATATTGATCCCTATGGACACCGATGACGCGGTCCCGGGTACACTAGACAATTTAGTTGTAGATCTTAGAATCGACTTCTTCCCCCGACTGTTTAGCCACGCGGCAACTAAGCAGACGTTAAAGCTCGACCTTGTGGCGATAATAGAAGATGGTAGCCTTGACGACGCAAAGATTGACGACAGAAGTTGGGCCTCTCGGTCTGCCCCTAACTATTGGAAGCAGTGATCAGTCCGAGAATACGCGAAGACTCGGGGATTCCATTTGTGCCTCTTGATTGAGCAGGGTGACGAGGTATGAGTAGTAACGAGTGGTAGAGGCGAAAGAAAACAAAGCAAGCAAATTTCAGACAAAACAGCGAGATCACAAGTGACAACACTTAGGGGCTTTGGATGATTGTAAACGCCAAGCAAACCCCACGATCTGGCTATGGGATAATGGGCGACAAAATACTCATTCCAATGATTTTCTTTCTTTTTTTCCCTTCTTTCCTCCCTCAGTGGACGCACTGCGACCAGACAGGTCTGGGAGGCCGTTTGGCACAGACTGGGGAGGCTTGTTAGTCTTGGATAGGGCCGCAAACAGTGACGCGTCAGACGGATCCAATGGAAACTTCCTACGATTCCATGAATCCGTACGGCCCTCAGCGCCTTCAGCCACGACGACTCGCTGAGCCTGAGAGCAGCGCCGGGATGGTACGGCACAGGGCGCATGATGGCTGGCGATTAGTTCTGTGCATGGAAGGCGGCCCTCCTGCAGGCGCGTGCCTTCACGCACTGCGTTTTGGAGCAGGCTATTTCGAATTTTGATGCCTCTGGCTCCGGACTCTGGAGATCAGACTCAGGGCGCAGCTCGACAATGCGTTAATAAAGGCCAACGCAACCGAGTCGTGTGAAACGCGGCAAAGACGCCACAGCGAGGCTGATGAGACGTGAGAAGAGCGTTAGGCGAAACGGGGGACGTCGGTCGTCTTATTCTAGACAAGCAACTCTCCTGCCGACTGGGCAAAGCTTCGGATGCATTGCCAGCTTTTCGTTTCGCCATCTCAAGCTTGCAAGTTCCGGGAGCCTCAAGCCCAAGGACGCCTTCTGCTAGGCACAATCCAGACGACGATTTGCGATTCGGGTGATATGTGCTGCCAAAGTCTTCCAGGAGTGAAGCCTGCAATGCCGTGGCCTGTTCGGGCAGTTATTGTTGGGGGAGATGCGCGACTCACGCGAGTACGACTGCAGAACCTGTACGAGTCGTCAAACCTGTCACCAACCACCAACCTTCTTGCCACCCAGGCTTCAGTTGAGAAGAGGCAATCTTCTTACTCTCAGTAGACCCAATTCCACATTATCGACAACGAGATCTTCAAGATGGGAGGTGATTTGGATTTCATCCGCGTATCACAAATCATGTGATGATCGCCAATTCAATTTAACCCAACACCGTTGCTGAGTTGATTACATCTGACGCGACATGTAGAAGACTTCAAGCTCAGAAGTTTTGAGGATAGCAGCATGCGTTGCGAATCACCTCGATGTGGCCAAGCTGCTATTCCTACGGTAATATGCATGGCCTGCCTTGTATAACTTGTATCTGTTTTTCGACTCTAATCCAAGCAGAATAATTTGATGGCTATGTAAATTTCACCAGTTCAAGACATAGCCGCCCAGAATCCCATCTGGCACTGTATTTCGAGCTTCTTAAATATTGACGTCTGCTCTGTACATACTTTGTAGTCTACGGCAGCCCAACTGGAGTGTGCCTCTAGTTCCTAACTAGGCTTGCCTCCTTCTCATGCCTAGGGAGCATATCTCCTTCCACCTCATGCATCTGGTTTCCATCGTTCTCGTGCCTTACTAGCCTCTCTCCTTCCATCTCATGGAGACCAGCAGTCTGCATTTCCGTAGTACGGCATGACCTTCTCCACCAACTTTCAGAAGTTGTCCGACTAAGTACACCTGCGTTTTTGTTCTTTCCCCTGTATTTACACAAAATCGTAGTGCCAAATATGATGAAGCATAGGAGAAAGGCTCCTCCGATGGCCCCACCAATGATGGCACCAAGAAAACTAGGACCGCGAGAATCTGTAGTGACGGTGACTGTCGCACCTGGATTTGACGATGAGCCTGTGGGTGATGGCGATAAAAGAGAAGACGAAGGTGGGATGGAGGATGCTGAAGGCACAGGTCATCCGGAGCCACTTCCAGTAGAAGCAGACGGAGATTGCGAGCTGGTCGGTATTCGTGTTGGCGATTGAATTGCGGAACTCGTACTCTTTGCAGAGCTTCTCGATGCAGCCGGCACCTGTGTCGCACTTGATGTAAGCGAGAAGGTCTTTGCAGCTACCTTCGCCTCAGACGAAAAGGTGACTCCGATAGGACCATCCACCCCATTCCCATCAGCCTCAACTGCGAGTTGTGCGTGATTAAAGAAAGGGGAGAGTTAGAACTCGCCGCTTGGAAAGTTTTTGGGAAAGGGATGAGAGATGGATAAGAAGACATACTCTCCTGTTACCCACCATGCAACTGGAAAGTTCTGAACCAAAGACGCCTCGTCCGCTATTACATATCCGTTTCGGCGAGTCGAATCTACCTGAAATTGGCTTCCTGGAAGATGAACATGATCAGTTGAGTCTTCGTCTCCGAATATAACGTGCGATGATGACGCTTACCCAATACGACGTTATTTCCAGTAGTACCATTCTGGCACCACATATTCAACCACGCCTCCCCATAATTCGAAGTCCACTGTAAGAATATCTTGTCCACATTATTGATCGTCGTTCCATCCACCAGTGGGAACAGCCAACTTGCAGAACTCGATTGCGCCCTCACATCATCTCAATTCGCGATCCAAGCTCCGATCAATGCCCCAAGAAGCCGAGACCATTAATCGCATCTTTCTCTCTCATCAAGAGAAATAAATAAAAACTGAAAGAGAGACACAAAGAAGAGAAAATGAACACACGAGGAGTTGGAAGCATAGCAAGCTTAGTTTATTACGCTGGCTAAGCTAGGTACCCCGAGTTCAGATACCAACGTTCGCTTAACGCCCGCAGATGCGATTTAGTACCAGATACAATCGGGATACCGTACTTTCGGGCAACGTTGAAACGCCAACATGTGTGAGCTTGAGATTGGAGTGGCTGTTGTTGTACAAGAAATATTTTACCCTTTCTGATAACAATGCAGGTCAACGGCAAAATACCTCTGAAACATTAGCCGAGGGGTTAGGCGCGTGGTAGCCGCTGGGGTGGGACCTGGACTCCCAAATATAATACTTGGGGTTCAATGAGGTGAGGATAGGTACGATTGCTTCAATTTGGGCTTGAGGCTGAATCTGCTTCCATGGCTATGTGTCTGTCTGTTGACCTTTATATCATGTGATCACAAATGTGACTGACCATATATCAAGAGATTCAATCCCACCTTGCCATTCAAGAGTGTCGACTAGCTTGGTTATCCATCCACTCAAGTCAAGCCTCGTAGCTAAGATTCTGGTGATAAGGGAAGTAAGACGGACAAATGAAGCGGCGTGCGCGTGGCATAGTTCGGAGGTGATCAGAAACTCTTCGCCTGTCAACAGCAGCAATAGAACACTGAATGCCATACCGAAGGCGTCTCCACCGAGATGATCAGCGTATCCCGATGTGTGCAGCGATTCAAGCGGCATCTGATAAAGCAGGCTAAAGCAGCTCCCTCGCCCTTTGACTGTAAGATTGTGATAGTCGCTTTTTGAGATCTCTCCAGCTGTTCCTTCATCGATCCGCGCATGCCTGCCATACTGACCGCAGCAAATGCAGCAGCAGCACGCGCAGTCATGAATTTTGAACTGAACACCAGGGCAACGATCAGACTGGATATCGCTCCAGATGCACAAAGCCCATAGAATTGAACATTTGGTTCGCTATTCAATTCCCAGAATGTGACTTATCAAGAAGGTTTCGGTAGTAGAGTGACACGTTCTTGGATAAGAAAAACTGTGGACTCCTCGTTCGGCGCCAGCACATTTACAGCACTCCGCTATATTGCCACCAGCCGTCCTCCCTTGACCAAGTATCATGCGTCCGCGATGAATTTAAGCAAAGTACAACGTGGCACCTGCAGTGCCGACAACAGCAGCCTTGACTGTCCTTGGTCGAAGCAATGTGTAATTGTATAGAGGGCTGTCTGCTGTTAAGGTACCGAAAAATCCCAGTTTGAATAGTGTCGTGCGGTATAGGGTTATGGTACTAGAAACTGCAATGTGCATTGCAGGTCTGCTTTTGCACAAAAACTATTTAAAGGACAAGTACGTATTTTAAGGATTGAAAAAGATGTCTCAAGCAGGCAACAAGCCCTTGCTTCTCGGAAGCAACCCTTGGATTTCTAGACATACTTATAGAATAACCCTCGCCAATAAGTTGAAGTCTAGCGACTCAAATAGAGGCGAGCTTTGCAATGGCATGAGCAGAGCTGCTTCATCTTGAAGCTCATATTGAATGCCTGTGGAAGAGTTGAAGCCCTTGCGAGATTGCTCTGGTCTGCGTTAGAAAATCTCATGTCCTTTCTGATGATGTGAAACAAAATGTAGGGATGCCAAGAGATGCCATGAGAGTGACAATACTTCAAGTAAACGAATCCAGAACCACCCCATGTATTTGGTGCCTGGATTTGACTTGACGCGTCCTAGCGGGTGTTTTCAGAAAGCAGAGTATTGCTTGTAATGACAATCTACTTGGCAGCAACTGATCCGAATACCCATTCTGGTTCGAACGGGCCGCTGAATGTTATGGCTGATCGTGAAGAGTTCTGAAGATTTTGTCTTTCAAGCCACTCAAAGATGAGGGCAGGGCCAACGCGAATCTGGAGATTGTAGCCTTTCGTGTCTGGACTACCTCAATTGTGCAGTGCAGGTAAAGGTGATCGATCTGCTGTAACGATTTGATCAGGGGCTCGCCTAATAATAGCTTGAAATGGGTTGGAAAAGACGAGGCCAGCGCTCGAGACGAGCTGACACTGAGAACCACTCTCCAAATCTCAGATACAAAGACTTTAAATCATAAGCAAAGTGAGCGAATCGTTCCTCCAAAGTGAGAGGTCGGCCTCGGAGGCGACATTCTCGGCAAAGTTCTGTCGCATACGCTAACGACAGTTTAGCGTCGGGCGAGCTGGTAGCGTTGATCAGCCTCATCGTGGATTATCGAGCCTCAGATTTCACCCTGTGATATTCAACAACCAAAACAATGGCCGACGTCGAGATAGCTAGTCCGCCCACAACGGTGCCTCAAGATAACGAGGCAGACGATTCATCTATGGCTGTTGCGACAACAAGCAATGAGGTTGTGGCAGGAGAGAGGAAAGTGAAGAAGATCATGCGCAAAAAGAAACGCCCGGCGCGACCACAAGTCGACCCTTCGACGATAAAATCCGAGCCACCCCCTCAGACAGGTACTATCTTCAATATTTGGTACAACAAATGGTCCGGTGGCGATCGGGAGGACAAATACCTGTCGAAGACTGCCGCCGCGGGGCGTTGCAATGTTGCGAAGGATACCGGATATACGAAGGCGGACAAAGTCTCTGGAAGCTACTTCTGCCTATTCTTTGCGCGCGGCATCTGTCCGAAGGGTCAAGAGTGCGAGTATCTTCACAGATTACCAGGCATTCACGATCACTTTAACCCGAACGTCGATGTATTTGGCAGAGACAAGCATTCCGACTACAGAGATGACATGGGAGGTGTGGGAAGTTTCATGAGGCAGAATCGCACTATCTATGTAGGAAGGATACATGTCAGTGACGATATCGAGGAGACTGTGGCTAGACATTTTGCAGAATGGGGCCAAGTCGAGCGCAGTAGGTTTACTATGTTCTGTGAAATTGGGTAACGCTAATGATTTTTAGTCCGTGTTCTGAACACTCGAGGTGTAGCTTTCATCACATATTCGAACGAAGCGAATGCACAGTTTGCAAAGGAAGCCATGGCGCACCAATCCCTGGACCACAGCGAGATTCTGAACGTTCGATGGGCAAGCGCAGATCCCAATCCGATGGCACAAAAGCGAGAGGTACGGAGAATTGAGGAGCAGGCAGCCGAGGCTGTACGAAGAGCGCTTCCAGCCGAATTCGTCGCAGAGATTGAGGGACGTGATCCTGAAGCACGGAAACGGAAAAAAATTGATGGGGGGTTTGGGTTGGCTGGTTATGAGGCTCCGGATGACATTTACTTTGCTAGGAGTGCAAATGCCGTCAATCCGGTGGGAAGACAGGGGCTAGAACAGGGGCTGGAGCTTGAGGACGAACAAAGATTGATGATCGAGGCAGACCAGGTCGAGAGGGAAGAGGCAGAGGCAAAGGAGAGTGGTATTTTCTCGAGTAGCACTCTGGCAGCTTTCAGAGGTGCGCAAGTAGTGGCTTCTAAGCCAAAGGCACCAGCGCCATCAGGTCCTTTGGTTGCATACGATAGTGATAGCGATTAGAACTGGCATGTGGCGTTGGTGGATTAGGATGGGCTCAAGCTGTAGCATATATCCAAGGGCTTCGGATCTCAACGGTTTTTATTTTACATCAAAATCCGCTGCATGTGTCTTGGTGGCTTTGCTCAACTGTTAAATATTCTTGAGTACAACATCTCATGTCTCCCAACCCAGAGATCCATGACAGGCACAGTCTGCCCTGCATCCTCAATTGTGGTATCCCAATGCTGTTCTATAACCTTCTGAATACCCTCTTGAACCTCTTTGCTCGCCAGCACTTTCTGTGCATGATATGGTCCAAATATACTTGCTCGCACCGCTGCTGACAGCAAAGCTTTCACATGGCTCAACATGAATATATATGCCGTCTGCTGCAGACCGATCCCCAATATCCGCGAAATTGCGCCAAAAAGCGGCGCGAGATGGGCCGAAGCAGTCGGCAAGTCATAGGAGACATTCGTAGATGTACCTCGTAGCAGAACGGAAAATTCCTTCAGCGCCTGTACGTGGACAGCTGAAGCCCCAGCAGGCTTGGCCGAGCTGAACGACCGGTCCCAGATCGAAAGCAGAGCCCTTCCTTGTGCAACGGACGCTCGTCGACCTACTGTGCACATAATGGCCGCATCCAGGGTATCGTCAAGCTCTACCAGGTCCAGCACGTTTCGATGCGCCGCGAGAACGAACGGCAAGGTTGTTGAGGCATAGGAGGATAAGGAGAAGCCTAGGAACGCGGGGAAAGAGGAGCTCGAACGGGTATGGGCGAGGTAGGACTCGAGGCCGCTGCTGAATGCAAACGAGCCGAGTGGAAGCGCGGAATCTGATAAGAGAAGTAGGAAGTGGTGGGAAGAGGTGGAGAGAGGACCTGCGTATTGTTTAGAGAGGCCGACTTCCATCTTTAGTTTCAGACTGACCGACGCTTTGCAGCACTTTGGAGGGTTTGGGAAGGATGTCCCCAATGGCATTGCTGTCCTTTAGCTTCGCTTTTGCTGCTTCCAAACGCCGCTCCAGCTCGGCAATCTCATCACGGAGAGCGTGCGACTTCGAAGAGTCGCCGGTAGTGCTCATCAAAGAAGCATGCCGTCGTGTTTGAACTACTGGCCGTGATTTGGTATCGATGTCGTCAATCCCGGCTCGGATGTGCCAGTTTAGCGAGATACATCCTCCAACGACAAACGACCTCTCTCATCACTTCATATACCACAACTCAACCACAGGGCTGCCAATAACGCAGTCGCTGGCTAGCAACCAGTGAAAAGCTTCCAAGAATGTAGACACTCTCATTCGACAGGAAATGAATTCGTAGCTTCGAATTTAGAGAACGATTCATACCTCTGTAGTCCTTCTCAAGCTTATGGGTACGTTTGTTTTGTTTCATTGCCGAAACTTCAGTTGGTAGTGAGAATATTCGATCCTGATTACCCGATCCATTTACACTGCTTCTATTGCAATTTTCCTGACATTTATCTCCGTGGATTGCATTGCTTTCTGCTCTTTTGCGTCCCATCTGTCAAGTAGCGAGTAACACCAAAATCACTTCCACCCAACTCGTAATGAGCAGATGTTTGCTTGTGTCATCGTTGAATATTTTGAAGTGTCCCGCTCCTTGTACTGCAGCAACATGCTGGCCAGACTATGAAACGTTGTGCTGTGCTCTTGCTCCCAAAGTTGGTATTACCATGTGCCCTTGCCATGCGATGTTGGCAAGCACGAAGGCAAGACACTTGATGAGTGCGGCTCGGACTACATCGCATATCTTATTAACAGAAATGTTTCGGCCAACCGTCCGCCGTTGAAAACTGCTTGTTGAGAGCTGCCCTTCACGGGAGAGCCTGGAACAATTGCTATGCAGAGGGACTTTCCCGCTCACAGCCAATTTCGTCAAAACCGGCACCTGTACTCTCACATGCTGCATTGCCCCCTTTACTTTGTCGTGGAACTCTCAGCTTTCGAGTTCTTCGTCTGCGAGAAATAGCAAACCAAGCTCCAGCTTTGCGGCTGGAGCGCCTATCAACCCTGGTGCAATCGTCCCGGCGTTCGGAAATCACAAAGCGTTAAGGTTGGAAGATGCTGATAAATACCACTGCCAGGTCTGTATAAGCCTTATGCGTAGTTCCCGACCTTTCAAACGATCAAATTTTCAATGTTTACGGGGTCGTTGATTTTCCGTAGAAGAGCAGTACTAACAATGATGCAGCTGGCCATGGAGCTCGTCTCTGGAGGTAGATTAAGTGTATCTTATGATCTTACATCTAAGGCCATTATAAATATAGTCTTCGCTCCAACTAGGCGGCCTTGCTACCTCGTTGGCGTCCACCTAGCCACCCACCTAGCTTCGGCCTCGCCTCGGCACCCAACTCGTCGCTTCATATGTCGCAATCCCCACAGCAACCGTATCGAAGCTCAGAACGAGTGGAAGTGTGTATGGTGTAGTTGGATGGCTTCTGTCATCTCAATTACTACGGGATTCAACCCATCCTTAAGAAGACCATTCATGACGGACCATTCTGGGCTAGAAGAAGATGTCCTTTCAAGGGAAATGGGGGGCGTATCTCCTCTGCGAGGCCGTACGTCTTCTCATAGACCTTAGCAGATCTCTGACAGAGATCAGGCGGGTGTGAATCCGGACGGTGTCACGCCACTGGACGGTCTCTTGGGGATAATCAACTTCGACCACAACTTTTTTTTTCTTTTTTTTTTCTTTTTTTTTTCTTTTTTTTTTCTTTTTTTTTTTCTTTTTTTTGGGGGGGGGTGGTTGATATCGTAGGCTCGAGGCCAGCTCTCGCAAAGTACATAGTCGGAAAAAAAGCGAGCGACCTCACACCCCTGACGCCGGACTACCGAGTGCCCGACCTGCGATCAGTGCCATCATTCTTCGTAGGGGACAGAATCGTCCAGGGGCGGAAGAAGAAAGGCAAATGGTGTTCTTGGATCACGGCGAGCGACGACGTCAAGACATGTTTTTGGCTATGCTACTGACCACCTAGCTCGGCTTCCGCGTGCAAGTGGTAAAGCAGCGAAATTGACCAACCAGATCACGTACTGCATGTATCATGTGTGGCAAGTATTGGGAAGAAACATTCGACGAAGAAGACGGCCGACGACGCAAGGAAGGCGTTTCGAAATAGCTCAGTGGTAAGTAGTTAGTTCGACAGAGATGATATCTTCTATTTTTGGATATCGCAACTATGTAATTTGATTGCTCAAAAAAGGAAAAAATATTGCGCTGCTTCTGATTACATTGGAGAGGGAGGAGGAAGGGGCTGTATGCATGCTTGCGAGAATTTGTATAGAAAGGATGTCTGTAACGGGGCCTCGAACATGTTTTGTTGATAGGATTGATAACATATCCTCCGAGTCACGTACAACGAGGCAACAGGTTTAATTTCTCGATCATGGGTAGATAAAAGTAGTTAATGGAGCTCGTAGCGTATTGAAAATCAATGCTTGAAATGCATCAGCTTCTCAGCTCCACAACAGCCACCAAAAGCTTTACGAAGTTTCACCTGAATAAACAAATTGGCTAAGCGGCATCCTTCTCATCCAAATCGACCACCCCAATCACGTTCTTGTGCTCGTCAATCTCAAGCCTCTTCTTGGCGATTGAAGCCTTCATTGGGTTCTTGGCGCTAAAGATCTCGTCCAGCTCTTCGAGAGTGCGGTTCTTGGTCTCAGGGATGAAGATGTAGATGAGGCCAGCTTGGACCAGACACCAGACCAAGAAGACGATGTAGGTTTTCCACTTGATGTTGTCCAGAGCGACGGGAAACCGAATTGGTTGACGAGGGTGCCTGAGAGAGTCAGTAAGTGATATCTGAGGAAATAGCTGTTCAGACTTACCAGCATTGACGAACATATTGGAGAAGGCCATTCCCTTGGCACGCATCTCAAACGAGAGGACCTCGACAGGATAGAGGGCTTGCAAAGGGGTCCATCCGAAGGAGTAGACAGCTTGGAAAATGTAGATCATGGCGACAGTGGCGGCACTGGATGCTTTGTCGCCTTTGCTGGCCTGGATACCTGATGCGGCAGTCACTCCTATCCAGCAGATAGAACAGCCTACGTTCACCCAGATCAGGAGAGGGCGCCGACCAATCTTGTCAACAAACATGCTTCCAGTGAAGGAGAGAATGCATTGCACCGCGTTCATAGCGACGAAGAGGTTGTTCTGAGTAGTAGTATTCGTGACGCCGGCAGTATCCAGCACTCCGCTGAGGAAGTAAGAGACGACACCTGTATACCTGCTTAGCAAAGTGTCCCCTTCAACAAAAGCTGGAGAGATGCATACCGTTACCAGCCCACTGTCCGAAGAGTGAGACAAGGCAGTTGCAGGCAAGGCGGTAGACGGCGGTTCTGTTCCTGAACAGCGCCCGGTAATCCCACCAGCGCTTGTCAGCGCCATCGAGTTCGAGATGTGCCTCGTATTCTCCCATTTGTAGCTTGACCCATTCGCTCTCAGGGTTACCGTTTCCATGCCACTTGGTGAGGAAAACCCTTGCTTGCTCTTGCTTTCCGTTGGTGTATAGCCACTAGACAGACATTAGACAATCTTCATTGAGCGAAGAGAAGTGGAACAGAGAGGGACTTACTCGGGGGGATTCTGGGAGGAAAAACGCCGAGAGGAACACAATCCCGGGGAACATTGCCTGGAGCCAAATCGGCACAAGCCATGTAGCGTGTCCAGACAAGTTGAGACTGCCACGGCATGCACTCGACGCGACAAGAGCACCCACGGGCCTGTTCCATTATCAGCTTGTGAACGCAGGGGGGTCTGAAAATGGAGCTCACCAGAAAACATTATAGAAACCAGTGATAATACCACGGTAGGCAGGATGAGAGATCTCGACAACATAGCAGGGTCCAGCGGACGCGATGATAGACACGCCCATTCCCATGAAGAAACGACCTCCCATGAACTGACCAATATTGTTTGTGCTAATGACAGTGCCTTGAATGATGACACCGAGGAGAATGATAGAGGCTCCGATGAACATGCCGATCCTTCGGCCAAAGGTGTCGATCGCAGGGCCGATGAAAGGGATTGCAGCTACGCCACCAATTTGGGTCATGGAACTGACTATGCCAGCCTTAATGCCGACATTGCCGACCCCAAAGAACTCCTGGAAGTTCGTCTGGGAGAGCAGATTTCCGAATAGAGAGGAGTCAAAACCGTTAGAAGTAGAACAGCAGAACCCGACAACCGAGATTATGTAGAGGTTAATGGCAACCCAGTTTCTAGGCTGAGGTGGCTCCTTCATCATAGCCTGGTTAAAGCTCTCGTCACCGATAAGGACTTTGGTTGATACCACATTCTCCTTCATGTCAGCGTCATCGTCGTGTTCGGCAACCTTGACGTTGTTTGTCTTCTTGATATCTACCATGATGGTCGGGGGATTTGCTGTTGTAGCCGAGGGCTCAAGTGTGTCTTGATAGAATAGAATGCTGCACAATGAAAGGAAGAAACCCCGAGGGGACAAGCTCCTGCTACTTATTCTGCTGGATAGAGATGCAATCCCAAGTATGCAGAGTCCCCGGACCATACGACCACACCTGGACCAGGCTATCTCACTAGATTTCCTACATGAAGAATAGGCGCGGAGAGACGGTACGAAGAAAATATTTGAAAAAGAGCTGATTGGACGTCGAGACCGCAAACATTCGGACCATGGGGCACTTTCCCAGGGTCAAATCTGGGGTTGAGTCTCTCTTCGACGTGAGGCAACGGAGGGCCGCATTCCGCAACCCAAGCGGGAAGAGGGACGAAAAACCTCGGAGTTACCAGCTAGATTCCAGCAAGATGGCGAGATGGCGAGATGTAGTGCGCCACACGAGCATAGGTTCGTATATTATTTTAAACAAATTGCCAAGGGCACGCGATAGTCTCGAGCGTCGACCGTCGAATTTCTCGGCATACAAGAAAAGGGTGCAGCTCTGAGTAAGGGACTTGAATGGTCCATGATATCGATGGATGTGTAATTCATGTTGATGTTGCTCGTCTGCCCCTTTCGGGCCGAGCTTGAACAATCCAGCGAATGCATCTCGGGTGAAGAAATGTGGAAAATGAGGAGAAAAGGTGGCGTTGCTAGCTTTCGGTTTATCGGTTCGACAACCGTCGCTTGTCCAGCCTCTTACGCTTCACTATTGTAACTTTTGAACAGGCGCGGCTCAAGGACTCATCCAGAGTCCGAATGCCCCCTTGCACCTCCGTTTCAATCAATTGAGCCCGCAGTTCCGTTGCTACCAGTCTTTAAAGAGGATCCAGAGCCTCTCTTTTGGCGGTGAGGTGACTGATAGAACCTGGCCACTATCAGATGGCGAGACGGACCAGATACACTCACTCGTAGGACGAGACCATAGTCACCAGTAGGAGACGCCCTTGTTGATCCTGGGCGGGAATTTGCGAGGACCTCAGACTGGCCTATTCGACGCCACTCTGCATGTCAATGCAGTCCGCAGGTTCGAGGTCATGAGCTTCTCCAGTAAAATGCTGGATTTGACGAAGGTTGTATAAGCCATCCACTGTCTGCATCGGTAATTAACTGGCTGGAAGGCATATCGATATTAAAAATATACTCATTAGAAGCAGAACAGACGTTACAAGACTACTTACGAAAACAATGCCTGGGATGAGGTTTCCAGGGTGATTGGTGGAGTGCCAAGAGCATCTCACTGCATATCTGCAACTCGGAAAGTACTATCAGGCAAGCGTGGACACTACCTACCAGTTGTATGAAGAAGAGAAAGTCACCATAGAAAATTTGGCGATTGGATTTGGTTCCATGATCTCTGTCCATGATTCTGACATTTTGGCTCATCTGAGAAATGCTTTTAAATTTCGCCAATGGTGTGCAAAAAACAGCAAATGGGTATCTCCCAAGGCTAGCGGAAACATATTATGCTATTCGCATGGATAAGCGAACAGATCATGCCGAGCTATGACGCGGATTTTGACGAGGTCCTGATAGGCAGTGTTCCCAGCGGCTGTCTCTGTGTATTTCCAGACCGTGCCACAAGTTCCATCTTTCGCTTCTTGAGGGCATCACCGAAATCCTTCGCGGTCTGCCATCTTGGGCCCGCCTTTGCAACAGCGTCTCTCAGAGCACGCTCTTCCGGATCCTCTGACTCAAACCTCACTCTCTTCAAGTTAGAGCCCTGCTGCGAGTTCCCCAAGTCCGTAGCCGCAAAATAATCTTGAGGATTGGATGGACTGGTAGCAGCGTTGAGAGTGAATCCGTACGTCTTTTCAATTGGGAAAGTTGTCGTAGGAATAACAGACATTCCTTCGTCGTCCTCTGGTGAGTTGGTATATTGGGTTTCAAACCCATGGCTCTTTCCAAATATATCGCTACCGTGGGTGAACGCATCTCGGAGCCGGCTGACGCTCGATTCTTTGGTAGCAATGAATTGTGATCCTGACTTGTTGAGGTCTTCAAGAAGTGTCCGTCTCTGTGAAGATGGTCTCTGTTGGAGATGCCTTTCTAGACCGAAATACTGGTATGACGAGGCATCTGGAATTTTGCGCCGAGACTTGTACTGTCTACTTGACTCGTCATCTACTCGATCATCTCTGCGGACACCGGGAAGAGCTTCGATCATCGTATCAGGTTGGTCATCGCGTTTCTTCCAGAACCGGGTCATTTTTCTACAGACATCCTCAATAGCCGCTGCTTCCGAATCTGGCTTCTTGAACCATGAATGATTGAGTGCTTGAACAGCCGTCATTCGATCGGACGGGTTCAGGACAAAGAGTCTCTGAAGGAATCTGACGGCTCGTGGCTTCAACTGATTTCTGCTCTCCACTGCGAGGAACCGCTCTGCTATCTGTATCTGACTGAGACGAGGAACTTCCTCTTGTGTTAAAATTGACTGAGCAGTCAAAAGATGCGCCGTCAGGACGCCAAGAGACCACATGTCAGCGGCCGTCGTGTAGCTTTGATTTGTTCGCTCGACTCTGTCTACCTCACTGGTAATCGTCAGCATCCTGTAGGGCCAGGGCACCGGAAAATGGTTTTTATTTCGAGCCTTAAACGGACGGTGCAGCAACAGGAGCCCTGAAGATCTGCCCGGGAGACGATACTTTTTACTTACGGTGCAAGGTATCCATCTGTGCCGACTTTGGATAACATCCTCCCGGCTCTCTCACGGGTGTAAGTTGCAAAACCAAAGTCTGTCAAAACAACGCGTCCTCCAAAGTCTGTTTGCATGATAAGAACATTTTCCGGCTTGATGTCCCTATGTGCAACGCCGTTCGAATGCATGAACTCCAAGGCCATGACAATTTGTCGGGCAATAATTCGGCCTTCGCAGTCAGTGATCGAGTCTCTGCACTTTTCGATATATGAGAAGAGATCCCCACCCGGGGCGAGGTCGGTGAACGTGTATCTATTTACAGTTAGATATCGTGACAACTGCCGAGTTTTGCAGTCCCTTGACTGGATGAACTTACAAGGTATTCTGTGAGTAGAAAACCTTTCTCAGGTTGACGATATGTGGCTAGTACTAATGAGAAATTGTCCAAGGACTATTCAGAACCCGGAGAGAACCCACGTGACTGAGAGCTGCTAGTATCTTGACCTCGCGCATGATGGCGTCCTTTCCTGATGATGCCTGCAATCCGCCGATGACAAAGAATGGGGATGAAGAAGGATCACCGCGATGTTCAATAGCCTTTTCGAAATCAACAATCTTGCAAGCAACTTGCTTGGAAGTTGCAACTTCGTTGGCCAAGAACACCGAACCATATTGCCCACTACCGAGAATACGCTTTGAAACACTGTATTGCATCTGAAAGTACTAGGTACTATCAGCGACATGCAACGACAATTCGATGGCAACCCACCTCAAGGTCTTCCGACTTTCCGCTGAGTCCTTTGAGAGCTGTCAATTGAGGCTGGTACAACCGGAATCGCCAATCCGGCCGCACGGTTATGACATCGCCGTGGCTAAGCAAATGTGCGATCCTCTCACGACCTATCATGCCGATGCAAGTATCATTGACATAGGTGCCATTCGTAGACTCTAGGTCCTCGCAGTATATCAATGGTTGTAAGTCGTGCGCCTTTTTGTCGAAGATTACCGAGTATATGCGGAAGTGGTTTTTGGAGACAACGGGATATAGCAAGTCATCTGGGAGGGTAATGTACCTGTATAAACCCTCAAAGAGGGCACCGAAAGAGAGAGTGGAGTGGTTACCTCCTACGAATTTCATCCTGCCCACCACTGTGTCTGTCGGGATCTCTACCAATTTCCGCAACTTCTCCGTCGAAGATAGGAAACTCTGACAGAACGAAAGGGTTAGGATATGACTGACAAGCTGCTCTCAACAGCTCCCACTCACCTTGCAGGAGGTCGCCTAGGTGGTTCTCGAGCCTCAGAATGGCAATACAGTCTTGGACATCATGGTTATTAACATCATCGAGGATCTGCTCAGTGAAATTGTATTGTTCAGACATGATGAAGGAAGTTGAGTATCGAGAACAGAAAGGAAAGTGTTAGTCAAACACCGGAAAAGTATAGCAACTTCATATCCTTTGAGTACACCTTTGAGTACAGGACACTCTCAAAATACCTTTTTGGCTGTGCGGATCGATTGATTAGGTTGATTCGACGGCGAGAAGGTGTAGGGCATCGCAATTGAAGACTGAGGGCGGCTGACTGCTAATGAGGCTCATCCATCCACGTGACAGCTAATCCGTATAGGGCTTAGCCTCTCGCTTGCTCCTAGCGTGGCTCGCACCAACATCATATGGAAGCTCAGTTCGTCCAACATTTCTTTTCCCCTCCCAACACCCATCACATCAACTCTGACAGTATGTTTTTGACCAACTCCCAACTCTTGAGCTATAGCTAACAACAACACAGTCATGCGGGCTAAGTGGAGGCTAGTTCCCCGTGTCGTCCTCTACTCTGAATTCTACTGACCTCTTTCCAGAAAGAAGCGTGTTCGCAGACTTAAGAGAAAGCGCCGCAAGACGCGTGCGAGATCGTAAGTTGCATTCTCTTTGTGTGCAAGACGTTGAAGCAATTGCTAACTCCCATCGCAGCAAGTAAACAACTCACAACATCCCGATCTCGGTGAACCTTGTCTCCCGAACAAACACCATGAAAACATAACCTCTGAGTCTACGCCATCTCCCGCATCGAGCCTCTACACCTTTTTCAGCACTCCGGATCACAAGCACTAGCACGGATTGGCACCACCTCTCGGCGCGATGGCAGCTGGGATGTTCAAGGGTAGAGCAGCTTGATGACGCGCATTCTTCAGCACTCGGTGGATTGGAAGGGAGGAAGTAGAATCGGTCAATATCTCGTCGGATTGTCAACTGAGGGTTTATGAACAGAGGAGCGTGGGAGATAGCTGCCGCAGATGCTTGGTACCCTCGACTTCAATTGCGAATCAATCAGAAAAGAAGTTTGCCTTCAAAAACGAACTACTGTGACTCATTATGTGAATTCGTTCTGCCCTCATCGTGCTTCAACTGTGGAATGACACCAACATTTGACATTCGCTCTCATCTCCAATGCTCATTAGTTGTTGGACAGTGGCAGCGTGCCACGCTTCGAGCTCAATATCAGACGCTTGCCCTGCCCATGATATTCAATCTACGATCACAAATTCTGCCCTCATGCTAACTCATATCACTTTTGGAATTAATTTTGAAAAGTTCTTCAATTGTGCGTCCGGGGTCGGTTCGCTGCCCCGCAAATGATGCCTCATACCGGTAACAGCCTCATGTACAAGGCATGATAAACGTCGGTGAAACTATTTTTCGGATGCCGATAATAAAATTTTGTCTTCCAGGATCATCACGATACACCATACATACGACCACAATGTCGGAAAAGGTAGAGAAGGTCAAGAAGAGAAAGAGGACTACCGAAGGGTCTTCCAAACCAATCAAAAGAGTCGCAATCGAGAAAGTCAAGCAAGTGCAGGTTACCGTCTCCGAAGTAGGAAAATGGGCACCCATCATAGGTACGCAGCTTTCCGCCTGGAGTCGGGCTTTCGTTGCGTTATTTTTCTGTCTGGTTGCTGACTCGATCAGCTTCTACGCCTGGTCTGGCAGCTCCGGCCGCTGTCCACCTCAAACCATACACGAAAGCTCGCTGTAATCCCGCTACCAGATCAGGACTCAGCGGGCGTATTGCAACCGAAGAACTGCTCCTACACTCCTCCGAACACCCAAAGTTCGACTATACGGCGATTGAAGAGGAGGCTGGGGGTAAAGATGCTCCGCTGAAGCATTATGTCGGTATCTACGATCCAGAGACTGGCAAGATGGAGGTAGTGGAGGCTCGAAAAATGGTTGTACGAAGCAGTGTGCGAGCAGAGCAAGCTACTGTGGAGGACCACGAGATCTCTAGGTCTATGGTAGGTCCAGATAGTGCTTCTTACTGTTACACCCGTTAATGACTATCTGCAGGACAAGACAGAAAACCGAAACAACCTAGGACAAACATTCGGTACAAAGAAGGCACGCAAAGCGATTGCTGCCAATACAGAGAATGCTATTTCCCCTGATAAGTCGGCAAGAAGCAAGGACAATAAGCCAGCCAAGATTAACGCCGCCACAGCAGCTATCCTCGCAAGCATGGCGGATGGTGCCAATTCTATGACATCCCGAGAGGAATTAGCCCAGCAAGTCGAAGACTCAAAACCACGTCCAAAAGCCAACAAGGAAGCCCAGGCTGTCGAGGATGTGTACACAGTTGACAGCTTGATTGGCAAGGATGTATTTGGTGCCGTTCCTGTTAGAACGTGGCAGGCAGATATAAAGGCCAACAAGGAGATTGAATGCCCTTCAAGATATGTCGCATCTCGGATTATGAAAGTTTCTGCCCATGTCGAGAAGCTCAGAATCCTGCGTTACATGGTGCTCATGCTAGAGGTGTTAAACTCTTGCAGGATCAACAGAGGACAGAGGACTCTACCCAAAAGAGATGAGCTGAAGAAGTTGCTGGGCGATATCCCGGAAGCAGTCCTCGAGGGTATGAAGCGGAAGTTTGCTCAGGGAGACTTGATCACTAAATTTGGTGCTGACTTGATGATTACCCACATGTGTGCACTGGCATGTATAGTGGACGGCTACGAGGTTGATATGTTTAAGCTGCAGGAGGATTTGAAGCTCGAGACTAAGGAGATGTCGCAGTACTTTAGGGAGATTGGAGCAAAGGTTGGAGCTTTGGGTGAGGTGGAGAGGAAGAAGCAGGGTCTGGACAAAGCTGCGGCTTCTCAGCGGAAAGTTGCCAAGCTGAGGCTACCGTTGGAGTTCCCCAAGGTTTCTTCCGGAAGGAGACTGTAGTTTTATGGCGTTCGGATACCAAAGGAAATCAACGTTCGACTTCTCCCTTGATACTTATGGCTCCAATGCCACACACTCCTCACTACTGTCTGTTTTTCAAGCGCATGATCCTGGAGCTGCCACTAAATGGTCAAGTACATTTGCCACTGGTTACTCACCCATCACAGTTATATTAACGTGCGGACAGGTCATTATGAACGACCATCCCACACCGCTTCTGGTTATTATTATTGCTGTCAGCACATCTACCGGTCAGCAAGGACGTCCTTGAGATTAGATTGCCAATCCTGCAACAGTTGCAGAAGACGTACAAGCTTGTGTATCTCGAGTCCGTCCTTGTGAGCCACAGCTTTTAAGCACACGACATGGCTCAGCAAGTCTGTACAAGACCCAGACCTATGGCCACCCCAGCCAATGCTCGGTCGGCATGGCGTTGCCGGTCAGATCATGAACGTTTCCATGTCCATGGGAGCGTCGGTGCTTAGCTCCGAGGCTCAAGTTATAATTCTAAACTTGTGACTCTGATCATGTCCCCTCCATGATCTCTGACTGCTTGATTTACATTCACACTTATATCCACTCTTGTCTTTGGGCGTCTCTATATCTGCTTCGTCTTCCTTATAGTCATTGTACAAGCAGCTACTGTAAATATATAACTACCTCCCATTTCCAAAATGCCTTCCCAGGAACCCAACGGCCTCAATTCCAGCAGATGGCCCTCCCAACACTCGCACAAGTCGAATCTGAGCAACCCGTTCGTCTCCCCCTCCTCTCCTGCCCCTTTTTACACAACAAGTCCATACTAACAAACAACAGGGTCAGACCGTCAAGCCACCAACTACACGCTTGATTAGATGCTCTTGGAGGGTGTGCATGTGATGCTATCGCAGCTAGGTAATTATCTGGAGCGCGTAAGTCTACTTGAGCTTTTTTTTTTCCGTTCTACGAACCATTTGGATAAATGCTAGCAGGAATAGGAATGCATTGGAAAGCCCGCGACCTTCCTTTCTCGGATCTCTGCCGCGAAAAGGGCTAAGCGGAAAGATCTCAGACTAGAGAGAAACGTCTAGAGGAATACAGACTTCTCTTGCCACAAAGCTCAAAGGTATCAAAGTCCACCATTGCCATCAAAGACAATCCTACTTTCAAGTCCACAATGCCTTTATCCCAGCCCTTTCATCCATCTCCCCATACGAAACATCCCAGAATATTCTACACGCTTTGTTCCTCGTAGGCAATGTTTCTTTCGACTTGCTGGCACATTGAGACCTCTCTCTTTGATCCTCGAGCGCTCTTGTTCCCATCCCCGAGTATAACTGCTTAGCCTCAGTCTGCTCCTCTCACCCGCTATTCTCACAACTACCAAACAATGTCCCACAGCAGATCCAAAACCACATCCAAGAATGCGACCCTCCAACTCAAGAAACCCCCCACCCGCCTGACCCAAGTCCAAACCCAATTCCAAAGCCTCAAAATCGCCTGCCAAACCCCCCTCCCCCCCTCTCCAGCTCTCCCTCGCCCGCCACGAGACCGCTGCCTCCAGTGCGCCCTCGCCGGCTTCCGGTGCTCCCCCCTCCCTTCTCCCCCTCGCACCCACTCTCATTCCCACTCCCGCTCCCATGCCGGGCACACCCCTACTACGGCCGCTACCCCAGCCACAGACTGGACAGGCTGTGCCCGGTGCCTCCACACCTCGCAAGACTTTTGCATCCGCCGCACGAAACTCGAGGAGGACGCGAGCGCGAGGATCTCAAGGATGGGAAAGCGAGCAGAGGAAGGAGAAGCGGGGAAGGGGAGAGAGAGATGGGCGTATCGCGCAGAAGGTCTGAAGGGTCGGGCCGTGGACGAGGCCGTGTTGCAGGCGCGAGTCGACGGCTTGCTGGAAGAGCGGAGGGAGACGGATCGGTGGGCACTGCCTTCTCAGCCGGTAGGGGCGAGGCAGGGGCTGAGGCCGTTGAGGCAGCGACTGCTTGAGGAGCGGGCGAGGATTTGGGCTTGGGAGAACCTTGTGCTTGGCTAAGGGGAATGAAGAAGAGGAGGAGGAAGGGGAGAGGAATCGACTCCATTTGGAACTTTTAGGTTGGTGGTCTCTAGAAAAAAAGACAGAATAGAAAGGGAAAAGAAGAGAACAGGCGGCAATTTTAGTCCGATTCAGACGCAACGCAGTGCATCCCGCCACCAATGAAGCTTGCAATCCATCTATCCATCCTCCCAAGCCAATTCCCATGCCGTGATTAATCGGGCAAGTAGCGCAACGCAAACGTCAACGTATTCGACTTTTTCTCTATACCGTCGCTCACTGTAACTTATGTTCAGTATGTATAAAAGCCCCCCAAATGATCTTCGCTGACCTCGCCATCCTCAATTCCCAAATTCAACGCAAAGTGATGCATTGTGAAAGCTCAAACCCGAAAAATCAGGTTCAAGTGAAAACGTGAGAAGGCAGTGAGGAGGCAACCTATAGGTTGGCGCGAATGATGCTCTCTTTCGTCGGATCGTACATCTTGCTGCGGATCCAAGCGTCGAGATCAGCGTCACTGAGATCACGAAGGGACTTCTCGCCGTCGAGGTTCTGGCGCTGGGATTGACGGATTACTTCACGGGCAACGATTACACTGCACTCGCGGATGCGGCAGAGTTCGGGGTAGAGACGGCCATCGTTGAGTTCGGAGGTTGTGATAGCGGTACTGAGGGCAACGGCTGAGGCATAGATCTGGAGGTGTTAGTTGGAAGTTCCAGGGTGGGGAGTTTATGCAGAGTGGTACCATTTCCTGGGTAATATTGGCGGTTTTGCAGAGGATACTTCCAAGGCCAATTCCAGGGAAAACATACATGTTGCTAGGTTTGTCAGTTCTTGGTACTTTGAAAAGGTAAGGTTGATACTTACTTTCCTTGACTTGGAATCATGACCTTGTCCTTGTAGAGGTATGGTTGGAAGGGACTGCCACTAGCAAAGATAGCTTTCCCGTCGGTGTGCTTGATAGCCTCCTCGAAGGTACATTCTGAGTTGCTGGATGGATTCGACAGTGGAAAGATGATAGGGTGCTTGTTCAACTTAGCCATAGTCTCGAGGATATTCTTATCGAAGATGCCTCGGATTGTTGACAGACCCATGAGGATCGTTGGCTTCACGTAATCGACGACTTCGGGGAGAGACTTGAACTGTTGGCCGTTATTGTCGTCACGCGAGAAGTAGACCTTGTGAGCAGCAAGCTTATCTCCTCGGTCGTTGGTAATGAGGCCCTGGACTATTAGCCAAATCTAGATGGATCTGAGGAAAAACGAGTCTACCTTTGTATCGACGAACCAGAAACACTTTCTGGCTTCATCCTCAGTCAAGCCCTCCTTGATGAAGTACTCGACAATTTGCTTGGCAACACCTACACCCGCACTTCCAGCTCCCATAAAGACAGCGCGTTGTTCCTTCGCTGGAACACCACTCTTCTTCAAAGCATTGATGATGCCAGCAAGAATAACCGCACCGGTTCCCTGGATATCATCATTGAAGAACCCAAATTTATGTTGATATCTCTCAAGAGCTGGGAAGGGGTTCTTGAAGTCCTCGAATTGGACGACGATCCTTCTAGATATTAGCCATGATACAATGCAAGGGTTCAGGTATTACATACCCAGGCCACATCGTGTTCAAAGCAACCATCAACTCATCCAAGAAATCACTCTCTTCCTTCTCAGACACTTTTCTCATCTTGGCACCCATGTACAACGGATCCTTCAAGAGATTCTCGTTATTCGTACCCAAGTCTAAGCACAATGGCAGGGTCACCTCAGGTCGGATACCAGCGCAGCCCGTATACAGAGCAAGCTTCCCGACGGGAATCCCCATACCGTTGATCCCGAGATCGCCAAGACCGAGAATCCGGGAGCCATCGGTAACCACGGTAATTTCGACGTTGGGTTGGGGCCAATTTTGTAGAACTTGGAGAATGCTTCCGCGATCCTTGTACGAGATGTAGAGACCTGTGGACATCAGAAAAATGGTTGTGAGGACTGAAAGATCAAGTTCACACTGAGGATTTGGGGTAGCGACTGTGTTGGAAACGCAAAACCCCTAATACAGACGAAACTTACCTTCTGCTTGTTGATAGATCTCTGACCACTTCAAGCAAGCCTCACCGACAACAGGAGTGTAGATCAAAGGAGCAATAGTCTGCCAGATTCAGTAGTTGGTCACGTGATAGACCCGGGAGTGGGGGGCAACGACCAACCTCGAAATTCGCAAGGACCAGTCGATAGAAGAGATGCACGTTGTTGTTCCTCAGGTTGCTTAGGTAAGTGTACTTCTCAATCGGGGTTGTCTTGGAGTCTAGCTGCTTAAGGCCTGAACAGTATTAGAATGTCACCCACTCGGATACTTAAATGCAGTGAATAAAAGAGGAAGAAAGAAGTAAACAAGAAAAACCTACATCTCTGGAGTTGCAGCGCATGGCTCTCAACATTCGGCGGCGTGAGACCATGGACACCAAGCTGGTTCCTCAACTCGATCGGATATGAGGTATCTGGGATACTGGAGTTCCAGCAGCTCCGTCAGCATTGGATTGGCAGACCTGTGATCTGTGGTTGGATGTAGGTGCGACAGCTTCGACGGCTTCGACGGCTTCGACGGCTTTGATGTCCTCGACTCACCTGGCTTTCTTGGGAGCAAGGTCCATACCTGCGGAAGATCTTGGGCTTGACATTTTGGCGGCGAGCGACGATGCGAGTCGGGTTTTAGGGATGTATTTATTGGGGATGGGAGGAGAAGGATAGAGTCTGCACGAGTGCTGGAAGAGGCGGGAGCTTCGCAAGCCCCCCATTGGAATTATGTGGCGAATTTCGAGTTGAATCTTTTGCCGTCGCGGCGCAAACCTCGGTTCGTAGTGGAAGTAGAGGGGAAAAAAAAAAAAAAAAAAGGGATGTGATACGGAAGGGATAAGGCACGGAGAAAGTAGGAAGAAGCTTTGTGTGACGCAATCCATCGGGGACCCAATTACAAGTTTGCAGATTTTGTAATAAACTCTCTAGACTTGCATTCGGCGTTCTACAGTATAAATCACTTTCCCCGCTCTGCTGACCTACCTGGCCTAGAGCCGTGGCCACTTGTTGAGATATTCGGATGCTTTGCGAATTGCTTGTTGGCATTATCGTGAGTGACTGACCGACCGGAATGCAGCAAATCGAAAGCTTTTATTATTAAGGTGGCTTGTCTCACCCAGTTCCGACTTCCCCCCGTTGGACAGAAGGAGCCGAGAAAGGAGATTCATCACATAGTGGTTGGTTACCTATCGCCAACACTTTTCGGGCTTCTCTAGGCTAAACCAACAGATTTCCAATTGATGTACGAATGTCCGACCCCTGTATGCCAGCGATCCCCAACCGCCTCACAGTCCAACAACATAACCTGTAGATGCGGCCGCTTCAGGCTCGATAGGTGCAGCGGCCGGTGGAGGAGCTGATGCAGGAGTCGGCAATGGGTCACTCAGTGCCAGCTTTATCCTCCAGTTGATAAAATCGTCCGAGAGAATTTCACCATGGCCGACTTCCTCGATCCTGAAGACTTCAATGCTGGAACTCCTCTCCTTTCTTCGAATTCGCCAAACTCCATCTTCAGTAATCGTCGCTTTCAAAACTGCTTCGTATTAGAGTAATCTCATTCTCATCCCCGCAGAACTTACAATCAAGCAACGTCGCCGCGAAGTTAATACACATATTTCCATCCCAGGTTCCTTTACCTCGCCTCTTGACTGTACCAGGTATTGACGCTGTATCCATCTCCTCGATTCTCGTCAGGAAGCCATCTTGCGTCCGGAAACCAACAATAATTTTAGGAACACCTAGCAGGAACGATTGGATCCAGAACTTCATGAGCTTTCGCTCGAAGTTCTTCATGTCTCCATCATGGCGAATATCAGCAGATGTCTTGAGTTCGACCCAGTTAATAGGACCTCCATCAGCGGGCTTGGAATCCCATACTGTATGTGAGTCAGTACTGATAAGCTGCATGGTGAAGTCCACGTCTTACATGCGTCTACTTCGCCACCAAGGATCATGTTTGTGTTGCCGATTCCCGTCTTGACAACGGAGCAATATTGGGCGTAGTTGTTGACAATTTCATTCTCTCGGTTCTCAATGTAATCTCTTGTCGTCTCGTCCCACGTGGCTGGAATCAAACACAACGTCTCGAACTTGTAGCCTATACAAGTCAGTAATACACAACCCATACCCACGTCACTACTCACCCCAATAGCTCATCATGTCTTGAGATGGCCTTCCCGGATGTGATGGCTGCCGCATTTGCCTTGCTTGCGACTGACGTTTGTACTCATGATTCTCCTCAATGAAACTGCCTGTCTCAGTGCTAAATCATGAACAATAATTCGGGAAGCATACATTGTATCCTTCACAGTAGTTTGTCAGCTCAGTACGGAAGTTGAGTCAAGGAAATGCCCACTTGGAAAAGAGTGGCATTCATTTCGAAGCTTTGAGGAGGTCAGCCGCCGAAACTTGGAAATTACCGAGAGAGAGTTACCCATCTCTATCGCTGAAGATGGCTGCCATGAACTGAAAACCATGTTAGCAAGCCGTCCAGCTTCAGTGAAAGCTAGGTGTACCTTTGTCATCATTCCTCTCCACGTGATAACATCTGCCTCGACACGCTTTCCTGTTTCTTGCTCGAGAGCAATGATGGTCTTCAGCAAGCTGTCAAGATGCTCATCGGCGGCATCGTCAAGCTTCTCAAAGGTATCGAAGCCCATTGAGAGATTTGCTCCGAGCTTTGGAGGGTAATAGTGCCTGATGGACGAATCATCTAGACGAAATTGATGCTTTTCATCATATGAGAAACAAGCTATTTCCTGGAAAACAATTATATATTGTCAGTACAAATCGAAATAAATTTAAGGCAGAAAAGGAGGTGCCTGAGACGAAAATGATAAAGAAATGTAAGATGGAAAATATAAATTCAACAAATCTTCTATAGCTCTCCACAATCAACGACATCTGAAATAGTTTTAAGGAAAAAGGGATATCGAAATGGAATATCGTCCGAATCTCGTGCACCACGTAAGAGAAGATGAACATACCCTAGGACGCTTGATCGCAGCGCTCTGCCCCACGAACCGGCCAATCGGCTGGATATCGAATATTTTACTCATCGTAGGTTTTTTGGTAAGTGACCATGATGAAGAAGTCGAGGTCGCGAGCGCTCTAAATATTGTCGACATGCAAAAAAGAAAATGAAGGGAAGGATGTTTGTCGAGGAGTTGGATCTTGCTGCCCCACAAAAAACTTGCATAGGCCGAGCCTCGTCTCTCTCTTTGTTTATGGGGAAAACAACAAATCCACCTACAAACCCCCCCACCTTGAACATCTCTTACAACTCCAGATTCACTTGCTTCAAATATTCCTAAGAATGCCAGAACGACGTCAAGCAAAGTCCAGCTCCTCCACAACCCGCGCCCAAGGCGTTCGCCGCAACCTCTTCCAACAGCATCTCAGCCGCCGCCCCACGACATCCTCTACCTCCACCTCCTCCGAGACTCTCCGTCTGGACATTGAGCCCGATTCCGACTCTTCGGACATTGTGATTCGGGACAAGAATGGGGATTTCGAGATTGAAGATCCGTCGATTCAGCCGTTTGATGGGCCGGAGGAGGGGGGACAAATAGATCCGCAGGAGGACGAGAGTGGGTTTTTGCATAAGGTAAACTGAGATGTGCTAGGCTGATATCCTTGTGCAGAGGAGAGGGAGAGACTGGCGGATGCTGTCAAACATCATCAGAGGAATAGGAACCGTGCGCCTAGCGAGCCAGCTGGTGAGCAAGCTTTCTGCAGACTGATTCAAGGGTACTAATTATCAGCAGAACTACTTGAAGCCGTTCGGACAAGTCTGCGAGCAAAAGTAGCTAGACTAGCAGAGGACAATTGGATGTACGAGGCAGAAGATGACCTGGGGCTTCGTTAAAATTCCCTACAAGGTCTTTTTGGATTGGCATGGAATGGCATAGCACGGCGTTCACATACCCAGGCGTTGTGGAGAATTGTATCAGAACAGTCGTTTGTAATTTGTATCGGTTCTTTCCCTCAGTCCAAACCCTCAGCAGCAGGCACAGAAGCTCCCACCCGCTTTGGCTGCGGCTTTGCAGGTCCAGCTCCCCCACCCCCAAACATGCTTCCCATCATATCCATGAGCGGATTGCCCTGTCTCGGCCTCGCAATGCCAAAGTACATCTCCGCCACCGAAGTTAACGCTTCATCCCAAATCCCAGCCTCCCTGATATGAACCGCATATTTGGATTTCAGCTGTGTGAACAAGCCGGCACTACCCTTCTGCACGGCCAGCAGCAGCAAACCCAAGAAGTTGAGGAGCGGCAAGCTGGGATAAATCCGCATGTCCGAGGCGCTGCTGCTCACATCCTGCACCGCTAACCCCTTATTTGCCTCCACCAACCTGCTCGTGAACAGCCGTAGAGACTTTGTAGCGTCGCGCACATTGCCCGTAAGCAGGTACGGGAACACTACTCGGGCCGCATACAGCGCCGCCGTGTGGGAGTCGTCCTGGGTGTACCACTCATATTCCAGCTTCGCAAAGACCTCTGGGGAGTCCTTCGTACCGAGTGTGAGATGACGTTCGGCTTCGTAGGCTTCGTGCTCCTCTGCGTAGAGAGATCCTGCGACGTGGTGAAGTTCCGGCTCGCCTGCCGGGTACTCGCCGCACTTTGCTGACCAGCTACCACATATCAGCTCCTCCTTTCTTTTCTTCTCCTGGTGCACAACTCACCCGATCATCTCTGCGATGAATTTCTTCCGAGTAGGCTCCTCGCTATCGAACAGCCTCAGCAACGTCAGAAGCTTGCCCTTACTGCTCGAATCCGGGTTCAGCCCCGCCTGCTTGTATACATCGATCAGGAACAAGCCCAGATCTCCACCGCTCCCTCCCTGTCCGGCCTTGAGCAGAGATTGAGAGACATTGAATAGAATATCGATTGCGGCAGGCCAGCTCTCGGACTTGACGTAACGGGCGGCAACAACTCGTGTTTGCTGCTGGGCTTCGTAGTAGGCCCCTTCTGTGATTCTGGCGGGTGTTAGTCGTTTGCCTAAGGTCATATTGGCTGGCACGATACGTACTTTCCCTGCAGGCGTACGATGATCTTCTCAATTTTACCGCTCATTTTGTCACTGTTTAGCAAGCTCGGGGTGGTGCTTGAAGCTAGTGGTCAAGTCACAGCCCGGCGAGGCCGACGATGTGAGTGGCCTGAAGTTCCGTATGGCTTATCAAAAGAGGCGTGGAATAGAAACCGAGGATACCGCGAACGAGCTAATTCACGCACTTTGAGTGGAATTTTAATAGCAGAGATAAGGTCATTGTAGAGATTGGATTGCAGAAAGAGAGGGTCACTTTCAAGTGTGCAAAATGAGTTAACACCAATTTTAGAGCCCTGAAACTATTCCGTATTAGCCAAATAGTAAGGATAATGGTCACGACCATCTGCTAAGAATTTGACTTGCTGGATAAAATTCAACATGAGGTAGATAACAAAACAAAGCCTGCACAGCATATCTCATCGTTACAAATAGCACTTATGGTTTAGTGGTAAAATCAACGCTTCCCACCATCACTCCGTGACAGTGTGCGTTGGCCCCGGGTTCGATTCCCGGTGAGTGCAGTATAACGAACATCGTTTTGTGGTTCTTTTGAATGATATCTATGACCTTTTCATTTTACACAGCGCTGCGCCGTTGAGTCATATGATGAGTGCTGCAGGTCAAGTTTTTAATGCTGGTCTTGGCGAACTTCACATGTATATATATACCAAGTAGCGTACAGGGCTATCCGAGAGATTTTAGCTCTTGCGCTTTAGCAACCACCTGCCTGCAGGCACATAACATTCGAGATTCCATTAGAAGTCAGTTTGCTAAGCAACAAGTATATATTCTATTTATTCATAAGACGTTGTATTGTTGAGTCAATCAAGTCGGATTATTGTAGCAGGTTCGAGTAGCCTTGGCGAACTTCATATATACTCTACGCCCATTTCACGATTCTGCAACACTACAACTTCATTGTATAAATAATAAAATAGACATTCTCATTCATCTCAATTGATTTTGATACTCCCAAAATCTTTACTTATCAGCGTTGTCACTCAATGTTCTGCCGTCAAAGAAGATTAACCTCAGCACTTGAATCGATAAGTGACTCCCTCCGCCAGAACAGTGACTTGCCCCTACTGAACTTGTCTGTTTCGAGTCTGAGGAATTGAGACCGGAATCTGATACGCAGAAAAGCAAAGCCAATCCATGGAATCAGCGGCTCTCGAACCTCACTATCTCCTACTTATCTCATTCAACTTGTATGTGCCCAAAGCCAGAGACCCAGGCGTTGCTACTACCCGTCTCACGTAAACTGGCACACGATCCCATCGATCTCGCTTATCCAAGGAGCCAAAGTCGAAACAAAACAAACCATAAGCAAGCTCGAAGCAGAAAAAGCGGATCGGCACGATCCATACCGTACTCTTCCCTTCAGATATGCAAAGATACCAAACTTCCTTCTTCTTTGGTGTACAACGAACACTGGGCCCCGTTGAGCTACGATAGGTTGCCACCATGTAGTTCACTCCAAATCCTTTCCAACACTCAACCACCCATCTCGCAATCCAGGGCCGGGGGGAAAAAGGATCCAAACCCAAGCAGCATCTCCACTAGCCTCCCTGTTCAATGAAGAATGCTACCCGTCGTTACCTAAAAGCGGATATTTCAAGCAGACAGCGCCAAACGCCAACGAACTCACTCCCACGAGGATTTTCTCCTATCGCAAAGTTTTGATAGGCAGGCCAGCTTTCCGTTGCGATGATCCACAACCACTATAGCTCTACTCTATACCTTACATATCAGATAACCCGCGTTTCCAATAAGGTCGGTCGGTCACACCGAGAGCTTCCTTCCGGATGCAGTCCTATGATTTTGATTATACTCCATTGCAGCTCTCCTTAGCTCGATTCTTTCTACATAGATAGATAGATTGTGAACCCTGGGTCCGCAATCCCTGGCAAAGGAACAGTGGTCAGGCCCAAAGCCGCCCAATATCGAGAGAACATGGCTGCGGGGTGTCTATTTGAGGTTTGAATTCCCTAGAGACCAGATTCATTTCTTCTCTCCTTATTATCTTAAGATTGAGCAATCATGCTGATTCTTCTGAATGGGGCTGACCAAGGCAAGTAGTTTTTTCACAATGACCCCGTTGACTGAAGTGAAAACGGACGGAAGCCTAGGATGAAATTGTAAGGATTGTAAAAAATGAGTGACGATGATTCTGGTTTTACATTTCACACGATCTATCCTCTTCACACTCCTCCAATTGTGAAAGTGCTACAGTACTGTACAGCCCGTCAAGTTACATATTTTACATATTGCCCACTTTTACTCAACTCCATGCTATGCTCTGAAGCGTTCTCTTCTCTTCGGTCTCGGTCACAGCATTCTTGCTGGGGGTTGCACTCTTCTATTTTTTGACCTCTTCAGGCGTAATGGAGTCATCAACCACAGCCCCCAAAACTTCGTTTTGATCCGAATTTCCAGCCACACCCTCGTTCTGCTCCGAGGTCTCGGCCATATCCTCGTTCTGTTCGGAAGTCTCGCCTATGACTTCCTTTTGCTCTGAGATCTCGCCCGCACTCTCTTTCTGCTGCGAGGTCTGGCCCACAGCTTCCCCCTGCTCGAAGGTCTCCTCAACTTCCACCTCCACCTCCTTCGGCGTGGACACTTTCTCGATCGGCTGATCCACTACCTGCGCCACCTTGTCTTTCTCCAACTCATTCATTTTCTGCCTATACTCCCTTCCCTTCTGGTTATACTTCCTGATTTGCTCGATAAAATAATCACCGGTCTTGTCACGATCGGGCGACTTCTCCAGCGTCCTCATGCGCCGCAACTGCGTAGCCTTATACAACGACAGAACCCGATCCTGGCCAGGGATCTCCGCCAAGGCGTACTCCACCTCCCACTTGTCATCTTCCGTGAGATTCTCAGGTCTCTCGATGTACTTCCCGTTGACTTTGTTGCGGATAGTAAGGGTCATAGCCATGATCTCTCCACTAAATTTTCTGATGGTTTTCGACCTGGGCTTGCTGGCCAGCTCGTCGGCGGAATCGACCCCATCAACTTTCGTTTCCGAAGCATCGTCGAGCTTTTCTTCTGCGGAGCTCTCGTCTGCGCTGTCAGCCTCAGGCTCCTTGAACACCTCTGCACGCTGTTCGGATTCGGAAAAGGCCGCAGATTCGAGATCCTCCTCAGTTTCGAGAGCAGAAACCAAGTCTTCGGCGTCGGCCGCTGCGAGCTCCTCGTCCACTTTCTCTACCTCAAGCTCCCCCTTGGCCTCCTCGACATCCTTATCGATCAAGTCATTTTCAGCGACGAGAGTATCTTCTTCAAGACCAGTAGTCTCGAGTATCTCCTCCAGTTCTTTCTTATCCTCCTCCAGGATGACAGACTCTTCATCCTGCTCCACGCTCTCTTCCACGCTAGCCCGGATGCTCTCCCACTCTTTCAGCTGCTCCTCAGGCGAGACCTCTTTCGTTGCCAGGCCCAAAACTCGTTCCTCAAACGCATCAATCTTCGCTTTGTTGGTCTTTTGGATCAGCTCGATCTCCTCCTCGACCATGGGTTCTGCGAACACATATGTGAATGGCGTCTCTGTATCACGCGTCTCGAAGTGAAGGCGTAACGACTGTTCAGGCCACTTAGTCGTAGCTCGTTCCAGTACCCGGTTGAGCAGCTCCACACTCAGCTTGAACTCTGCATCTCCAAGGGTAGTGTCCTTGGTTCCGTGCAAAGCAAAGTCCATCTCCGGGAGGCTGATATACTGGAAACCGAAGATTCTTTCCGTGTTGTGGTATGCCACGAAGATGCCATCCATACGACCCATTCTGACTTGTAGAGAGTACTTCAAGAATGCTGAACGAATCATGTCATAGTACTCTCTCTCAAAAGACTCCCATTTCCCATGTAGACCTCGGATCTCGTAACCACGACCTTCCTCGTAGTCATCGATATCCATTCGTACTGAGACGACGGACCTAGTCTTGAGATCGAACATACCAGTCCCAGGGATTCGCGGATCATATGCATCTAGTTGCGATCTCATAAGGAAATCGCCCATCCCTGTGTAATGGAATTGATCATCAGCGGTTTTTTCTTCGTCTGTGATCACGCCGGGGTTTGATTTCCGGTATTTCTCAAAGTCCTTGGTGGAAAGCGTGAGAAGTTTCTCCATGGACTTTCCAAGCATCATCAGAATATTGGCAGTATCGTATTGCTTGTCTGCATCAATAGCATATGCTCCATTCCTCCAGCGTAAGAAGATAGCAGCGGGGCCGCGTTGCAGCGCGGTGAAGGTGTGGTGTGGAACGGGGAACATCTTTGACAGGTTTCTGGTGTTTATTGCGCGCCATTGAGATAGGAGGAAGTGGAAATGAGCCAGAGCAGATGTCATACTAGATGTAGAACCTGTATACTTCTTCTTTTCTGCTACAGCTTTCCCGAGTAGTTTCTTGTCACGGGAAGACGTAATGTATTGCTTGAGGGCATCGAAATCAAACTCGCTAGCGGGCATGATTGTCTGTAAGTAGGGATCGAAATTGAAGACCTTTGAACGAGGATCTTGAAGCTGATATACACCCGGATTGAACAGGACTCTTTCCAATCCATAAGATAGTCGAGGGACCTGGAGAGGCTCGCTGTCAAGTGGTACCAGGTGAAGATCACCTGCCGATATGGTCTTGATCTCTTCATCAATAAGTCCTTTTGTAGCTTTGATAGGGCCTAAAGGGGGCCGGTCGACACTCTCTACGGTGGCTTTGGCATCTGCTGAACTCCGTTTCGTAGCAGGAGATGCTCGTGTAGATTCAGTCTTGGCTTTTGCGTTTGAAAGCAGATCCTCAACCCCGTTAGCGAGGTGAGGTTGCAGCGCAGAGAGTTCCTCCGGTGAACTTGTTTCCAGGTGCCTCTTCAGGCAGGGGTTTTCAGCAAGACCTGGATTGTGGGCAAAAAATGGCACGAGCTTGTCGACTTGCGCTCCGGACTGCGGTTTATTCTCAGTCCGTGTGATTGTATACTCGCGACCATCTTCATTTGTCACACGCCAGGTTCTGACCGGCTTATTATTAGACCCGTTCGGAAGAGTAACTTTGCGCAAGGTCAATGTCGGAAGCTCCAACCGCGATGTAGACTTTGATGCACTTCCGGATACTTTGCTAGTCAGGCCCCCAGTAGAAGGGGAAGCTTGCTCGGTCGAAAGTGGAGTGGAAGCTGCCATCTTGTTATTTTTTTTCTTTCCTTTGCCGACTTGTGAACTATCCTCCGACTTCAGCTCGACATCCAACCCATGCGGGCCTGCATTTGAAGAAGCTGCCGTGTCCAGACTTATCGACCTCGATCCCTTTATTTTTGTTTTGCCCTCCTTCTTCACACGTAGATTGTTCTTTTTCCCTTCTTCCAAAACTTCAGCGGATGTTTGCTTAGTTGCTTTGGTTGGCTTGTGCTTCTCTTTGGGCGCAGAATCTGGAGTATGGCGAGTTTTCGTTGAACCTTTCGTGGAGTCTTTATTGGGTTTCCTCTTCCTAGAGGATGAACCGGCTGGCAAAGCTTCGCCCGCGGCAATAAGAGACTCTCTTAAGGCCTTGAGGGTACTTTTGGAACTCGAAATCGGCCTATCCCTGAGACCACCATATCCCTCTGCAATCTGGCGATGTGTAGGTTCGGGCTCATCGCCAAGCGGAGTCGCCTCGCCCTCTGGAGAAACAGCTGGCTCATTGTCCTTCTGCGAGCTTACATATGTAGAAAAGGGCGTGGATGTTGCTCGGGTCGTGCGATCGACTGGCGGACGGGCAGCTTGTGGATGGTGGCCAACAATATGACAAAGGCATGATGAGCATAAGTATGACTGCCTGACCTTCGAGCTCCCGCGGGATAGTGTCGAGAACATAGAAAATGGTGTGGTTGAGTGGATTGGCAATATCCTGTGTGATGTTCGCGTCACGTCCAAAAAAATATTTTGATCGTCGGGCGTTTCGAGTGCGGCCCTCCGTGGTGGCAGGGGTCGTGAGAGGCGAATTCAGGGGTTCAATAGGTAGCGCACTGACTATTAGATACGGTAGATATCAGCCCCCGAGACATTATTTTACACAACAGTACTACCTGCAAAATGCTGACAAGTTAGGTATTACTTGCATGCCAATGACTCTTTGAGCCATGGGGATCGTTGTTTTGAGAGCCACAGAGCCCCTTCTAAGGTAATTTGATGGACCTTGATCGCCTCAGGATTCGGAGGGATATTTACCAGTCTCGCTTCGATTGGATCGGTGAAGAGATTCCCAGTAAGAAGCAACCGTAAATTTTGCAAAGCTCAGCGTACCATAGAGAAATTACCAAAGGCTTTCATACACCTGTACCTGTTTGCGAATGCGGAGGCCACCGAAAACTATAAGCAAATGGGTATAGATTACGCCGAAATTCCTGAGCGCCATGCCATGCCTGCAAAGGCAGTCCCAACCCAGATATCAAGTGGCCCCCTTGTGCTACATATTCAGACAATGCTCTGACATCCTTCCTTCAAGCGGCCTTGGAACTTGAAGAGCCTCGCAACGCTTTCTGGGCATTGGACTGGGCTTCCAATAGGGTATGTTCAGCCAGTTCAGTCTTTCCTTGAAGCTGAAAACATCTCGCTAGCATCCCGTCAGCCACGCTTTTCCAGAGGACATTTCCACTATTTGTGGCTTGTGTCGACGCGGCCATAGCGCTCTTCTCGGCCTGATCGCCCACGACATTGCTGAAGAATCTACTACACATAACGTTCAAGGTGATGCACAAGAACTGGGTATTAGCTGTTATCTTGGCCCCAGAAAGGGCAAGTCGCAGATAGTTTTTGATCTCGAAAGTTTGCGTAGGAGGATTCCTCCTTACAGTTGCCGCGATCAAGTTAAATGCTGTCTGGACGTCGATATTTGGATGATTTTGACAGAGAGGTTTCAACTTGTCCATCAAAGACATATTCTGAGAGATATCTCGCCGAGGCAGGTCTTGCAGGATCCAGAGTTCGTTCAGAGCAGCTAGAATTGAGAGGTCCCGAAGCATCTGGTCGGTCAAAGTAGCGTTGGAGTTCTTAGTCGCAGAGAGGTCAAATCTCCGATGTTGGAATCTCTTCAAGGCAAGGTCGAGCTCCCCAATACCTTGATAGTAAACCCCTGAGAGATATACTACGAAATGATCCAAGGTACCTTCTAGTGGAATACCGAACTTTAGTGTCGTTGCCTCCAATTCGTCGAGGTAACGCTTCACGTCCAGCCAGTCTCCTGCACCAGCCGATGAGAACGCCATGTAAACGCGAAAGTAACACAACAACAGGCCTCGCCACTGGCGATTGGCGAATAATTCCGGTAGCGAACCATGATGTTTCTTCGGCATGCGGGTGTCTATCAGAAAGCCTTGTTAGAGATATGAGAGTCGGATAACAATAGAGCCCTAGTCTCACCTTCTAACATGTCCAAGCCGGCCTTCAGGTATTTGAACCCCTTTTGATCCGATGAATTTTTATGTAATAGGACCAATCCTGAAAGGAGATATCTGGAAGTTGTCAGCGTGAGATAAAAAAGTAAGAGAATCTACAAACGTGACGCAGTATGTGTCCTTCTTGTTTAAGAAGCACATCATGAGGTTATCTCCACCATCTGCGCCGATTCCCAGTACCATCCGCGTGTCTCGGCTCACGACATGCGAGCTCTTTGGAGTCCGTCTAATGGGGATTCTAATGGCATCGTCTATGGTGCTCCAGTCCCGCGCTGTTTTCAGCGATTCGTCCATCATTGATTGCATTGCCTTCAATTTTTCAACCATGTCCTGAGAGACCCCTTGTCTGATACTACAGCACACAGCGAGAATGTGGGTCAGACCCGTGAGCTGCGGGATCTTGCACCGTGGTTCCTCTTGGTACTTCCAGGCAGCAGCGATGGCTCTTTGCACATTCTCCGTAGCTTCCGGACCTGTGGTCTTCATGTAGGTGATGGCCTCCAAGAGTGATGCTGTAAGAAAAATGGCATGATCGCCTTGCTTTTCTGCCAAACTAGCTGCGGCACGAAGACTATTGATGGCATAGTGGTAGTCAATGAGCGCGCCAGATTTGATCGAATGCGTTGCTGTAAGGAACCGAAAGACGTAGACCCATGAAAAGTGTGAGTAACTTGAAGGCATCAGCAATGTCATATATATATACGGCACAGGAGTAACAAACGTGTGGGCATCTTCCCCGTGTTGGGTTAAGGCCTTCACGGAAGCTTTCAAATTCTTCTTGCCCATCGATTGAGCGAGGAGGAATTGCATGGCATATTTAAGGTCGTCATAATGATTCTGAGGGGAGTTAGTTGAACCTCTTGTAGACCAAGTGTTTCTATCCATACCCTTTCACAAAGCGCAATTCCCTTACTCAGAGCTGTTTCTGCCTCTGGGGAGTTTTCGGTTTCTTCGTATAACACACCTGCATACCGTAGCCGAATGTTTGCTTCTAATCTAGGTGGCAGCCTGAAGTTCTTCAGTGCCGTGTCCAAGCAGCCCAATCCCGTAGCAATCAACTTCTCGTAGGCTCCAACGTTAGCCTCCGTCATTGACGCCACCACAGAAGATGCGATTTCATGCGCAGCTTGGAAGTATTCCTCTGCCAACGCTACCAGAAGCTTGACCGTATCCTGCTCAGGATTGGAAGAGCTCGACGACATTCTCGAAGTGTTTCTATTCACTGTTTCGAGTGTCCGGCCGATGGTGGGCTCTACGGTGGAGGAGTACTGCTTTCCCATGCCTGGCTGTGGTTGTGGTTGGGCGGAGAGCAGTTGAGCGGGGGAGATATATTGGGGTGAGACGACGTAGTGAGGCTGCAAAGCAGCATGTTGAACTTGCTGAGGCTGAGGCAGGGACTGTGAGTGGTACTGCGGTTGGAAATTCTGCGCCGGGGGAGGAGGAGGAAGAGGTGGTGGTGGATAGCCGATATTCGCATAACCCGGATTCGTGGCGTATGGGATTTGAGCATTGTGCTGCCAGTACTGGCGCTGGCCGTGGCCTTGAATGTGATTATGATTGACGGGAGATGGCGATGGAGCAGAATGCTGTGGTTGTAGCATTCGCGGATCCGAGCCCACCCAGCCGCTCCCTGGGTTTGGATTTGTGCCTCCCTGGTAAGCCATATTCGCTGGTGCTGGTGGCGCTCTGCCTCTGCGTCAGGTTCTCGGGTTCTGCCTCGGGACGCGCCGAAGTCGAAGATGTCGCGAAGCTCAACTGGTACATGAGTGCTGACTAATACACCCAAGTATTGCCCCTTCTTACCTAGTTGTAGCTAGCACAACTACATGGTGATACCGGTAAGAAATCAACCTGTTATCGGAACAATATCCCTGCGATACCGAGGCCCCATTATTTATATTTTTCGATTGCTGAGCTTCGTTTCCAGACTGCTGCTGTCCAGATTTCCTATTTTCAGTCATTGCCCGCAAAGGAGGTGACCCCCCCCACCCAACATGGAATGGCTTGGGCATGCAACGACAACCTTCACTCACTCCAAAAACCCTCTTACTCTCACCAGGAAACATGACGGATCATCAACAGACTTACTATCGGTTTGTGAGGAATCAACTCCGCCATGTCGACTCAACCCGATTCTTTTCAATGGGCACTTGCAAACCATGTGGACCAGCGTAAAGAACGATGGTCCTCCGATTTGCTACAAACGCAAGATCTTCGAGGCTGAAGATCCAGCTTATGCAGGAACTTACGCGGTAGATTTCGTTGTCCCGACTCTCTCAGAAAAGGATGAGACTCTTCCCATCCGGACAACCTACTTCAGTGATGAGGCTTTTCAAGAAATTGGGTCGTTGGACAGCAAGCCCATGCTGGTTGTGTTGCATGGGCTGTCAGGAGGCTCCTACGAGATCTATTTGAAGCACGTTTTGGCTCCGCTAGTGGCAGCTGAAGGGGACAGGCAATGGGAAGCGTGTGTAATCAATTCTCGAGGTTGTGCAATGCACAAAATCACAAGCAGTATTCTTTACAATGCTCGAGCAACTTGGGACTGCAGGCAAACTGTGAAGTGGCTGAGAAAGACTTTCCCAAACCGGCCTCTATTCGGAGCAGGTTTTTCCTTGGGAGCTAATATCATCACGAATGTGAGTCGATATCTATTGAAGGAAGCTTGAATATGGGTGTTGATAATTTCAAAAGTACATTGGCGAAGAAGGTGCCAACTGCCAATTGAAGAGCGCGGTCATTTGCTCAAATCCCTGGAATCTCGACGCTGGATCATTGGCCCTCCAGAGAACATGGCTTGGAAGAGAAATCTATTCAAAGACGATGGGTAGCAACATGAAGAAGTTGATCGAGCGCCATCACGACGAAGTCATAAAGAACCCAGCTCTGGACTTCGAGAAAATACGCAAGGTTACCTATCTCCATGAGTTCGACAGGGAAGTGCAGGGACCTTCTTGGGGATATCCAACCGAAGGAGCCTACTATCGGGATGCTTCTTCTACCGATGCCCTGTTCGCCATCAAGATTCCCCTTTTCGCTATAAATGCAAAAGATGATCCGGTAAGTGGATGTTTTCTACTCTTGAACAGTGTTGATGCTGACATACTGAGAGATTGCCATCGACGAAGCACTGCCTTACGAAGAAGTGAAGCAAACACCCTATGCTGTTCTGTGCACTACGTCCCTAGGAGGTCATCTATCCTGGTTTGAGATTGACGGACACCGATGGCATGCTCGACCGGTAAGTCACCGTCCGAGATATACCACAAGATCTGGCTCACAAACTACAGGCTGTCAACTTCTTGAACAAGATGGCCTTCGAAATCGACATCGAGAATATCGCCGATTCCGCTAATAATCTGGTGAACAAGGACCACTTGAGCCACGCGAGGTTTCACGCCATGGAACGGAAATGGAGGAATGACTAGGCTCCTGCCAAGCCGGAGGGAAGGAGAGAATGTATATTTTCACTGTGAAAAACTCACAATAGATCATAGACTGTAAAAACTTAATAGAGAGCAATGCATATAGATCTCCATATTCGCAAGGAAAGGTCGCCACAATCCTCCAGTAATCTTGCTCCCTAAGCGGATAACTCATCAAAAATAAGTTAGCAAAACATATCTGAGATTTAATAGAGAGTCGAAATAGATAAGCCGACCGGTTTTCCCCAATAACTGGTCTAATAAAGGTCTCTCGAGACACATATATCTTTCTCCTCCCATCTCGGCATCCTCTCGGCAAGCCCAAGCTCCATCCTCATGACGTTTACCGAAATCCCGCTTAACGACCTCGAACTCGACCACACCCTCAACCCAGCCTCAACACTCCCCAACCCAGACCAAAACCCAACCAAAAACAAGAAACAAGCAAGAGGTGAAAACGGCAAATGTAATCATGCACACCTCCGGCGGTCTCCGAAGCGAAGAGGCCAGCGACGCGGCATGGGAAGCCGGACGGGGCGCCGTGGTGGGAGCTGCAAAAGTAAATACCCATAGAGCCTCCCCTTCCCCTCCCCTTTTCCCTTCAAAGAAAGCAGGTCGGTCTGGTTGAAAGCGTACACGGTTGAAGACGGACGCGAAAGAAAAACCATCTCCCTTGGCTTGTGGAGGTCCATCGAGGGGTGGATAGCTACTCGCCTAGGTACTCGGGCTGACGGACGCGCAGTGGGGGTTCTTCTCAGCTATCCTGGGGGGCGTGGGATGGAGGATAAGTCCGATATATAAGGGGCTGACTATCCAGTTCAAAGTGTGAGGTCGCCCCGCTCCTGACTTTGTGGTGTTTTTGGGGCTCATGTGAAATATACTAGGTTTATACAGATGTCAGGTAGGTAATATACGGACGCAGCTCGGCCGCATGTGGAACGTGAAATGGAAAGCTAATTGTGTTTCTATGTTGAAAGGCATGATTCTCGGTGCTTGCTTGGAAGCTGATCAGAGGGTAAGGGAGTATGAGGCGAAGGTGCGGATGCATAAGAGGATGGTGCGGGATCGCGCGGTGTGGGAGAGCTACGAGAAGGAGTTTAAGGAGCCTTCTGAGAAGAAACCCTGATGGGAGAAAATGAGTACACCTGGTTGCAAATGAGATTGACCAGTACCCGGAATAAATCCAGAACTCCCTCTTGTCGGTTACAAACGCCCGGCTATATACGCCAGCCACACTTCCTTTCCCATGATATAACTCAAAACTTCCGGAACGCCTCTTAATGCTATCTCATCTCCATACTACTTTGCAGCAATAAACTTCTTCGAGTCCATGTTCAGCTTCGCTAGTCTCGCCACACATCCACTGAGCTGCAGCAGTGTCTGCACACCCTCCAGAATTTTCATATGTGTAAATCCAATCTCCTTAATAAACTCCAGCTTCGAGTGCTCGCTCAATGTCGGTATCGTCTTGGTGACTCTGAACATCGTGCTGATAATGTCGTGGCTCGAATACCCCAGATCCCACAGCTCCTTCAGTGTCTCCAACGCAGCATCAACCTTGCCTTCGTAGCATGCCTTCAGCATGGCTTGAACTTTGATAGGATGCGGCGAGTCGACAACTTTGAACACATTGTCTCCGCTCACAAACCCGAACCCCGCCCACGTAGATTGCAAATTGTTGATAGCTTGCCGCATATCACCCTCTGCACTAAATACTAGAGCAGCTAAACCATCCTCAGCATATTCGACCTTTTCAGCCTCGATAATTTGCAGAAGCCTCTTGACAACCTGTGCGTCTGTAAGGCGGGAGTATCGAAGGATGGCGCAACGAGATTGGAGGGGCTCGATTATCTTGTTCGACTGGTTGCACGCGAACGCGAACCGAGTGGTCGCAGAGTATATTTCCATAGTACGTCTGAGTGCCTGTTGGGCGCCGGATGTCATGCTGTCTGCTTCATCGAGGATGACGAGTTTTTGTCGGCCTTGGGGAAGAGTGACTTTCTTCTGGGCGAAGCCCTTGATTCGATTCCGTACGACGTCAATCCCTGAATCGTTCAAGTCAGATTAATTGTAGTAGAGTCCGACCAGGACATTCTGTACCTCTCTCGTCACTCGCATTCAACTCCAGAACAGCCTCCTTGTAGGAGTCTCCCAAGAGCTGTCTGGCAAGACAAAGCACGGAAGTCGTCTTTCCAATACCCGGCATGCCGGATATGATCACATGAGGCATATTTCCATCCTTAGCTATGATCTTCAGTCGCTCGATAGTCTCAGTGTTGCCCACAACGTCGTCAAGAAACACAGGTCGGTATTTCTCAACCCTGCAAAAGTTAGATCTGGCTACGAGAGGCAGCGGGTGACTTGCCATGGCAGCTCGTAGTTTGCGACTCCATTGGTATTTGCCTTGAGAGCCTTCTTCGCGGCTGAGGTGGACGATTCGCCGACCTTTTCGCCTTTTGAGATTGCCATCGCTGTTGAAATGTTGGTTAAACACTTCGCGCGCTTGGAGACGCGCTTTACTTTACGCGTACACGGGATAACATTTATCCGACATGTTCCCGGAAATCGGACTCTGGTCCTGTTGCATCCTGATTGTCGAAAGTCAAAGTTCAAGACTTGACATATTCAGCCTTGGTTTTGGGGATTCCGTTGTCGGCCAAAGCCTTCAAAGACCTGTGAGTTACTAGGCGCGCAAGAGGGAGCCATTGGGACTTGGAATCTCCTCATAATGTTGCTCCGGTGTTCGTTCTTCATGATATTCATGGCTCTCACAGCCAATGCGAGGTACATCATGTATTTGACGGGGTATGAAACTTGATGAAACCAGTATTCAAGCTCTATTAGACATCTCACTAACCGTGTTTTCAGACAGCACAATGATGTTCCGGAGCCTGAACTAATTTCAGAAATAACCCACGTTGCTATAGCCTTCATGCAGTCTTCAACTTTCAACCAGGAAAATCCATCTACATGGCCATTCTTCACGACTGTAGAAGAAGTACGGTCAAAGTTTGCCAATGGTACATCAATCATGGTAGCAATAGGCGGATGGGGTGACACTGGTTTTCCGATAGCTGCTGCAACAGAGGATAGCCGAAAGTTGTTTGCGAGGAACGTGAGGGCTATGGTTGAGCACACAGGAGCAGATGGTTTGCTTCCAAAGTGCTTATTACCACACGTGCTAACCTTTCACAGGTGTTGATATCGACTGGGAATACCCTGGGTTCATCCTACAAGACAAAGTCATTGTTACAAATCACTGACACTTTCACAGAGGTAATGGCGAAGACTACAAGCGGATCCCCAATTCCGATAAAGAGTGGGAAATCTCAGCATATCCCCTTCTCCTATCAGAAATTCGTGCTGCTCTCGGTTCCTCCAAGGTTATGTCAGCAGCTGTACCTGGTCTACGAAGAGACATGCTGGCTTTCACCAACGTCACCGTACCGTTGATCAGCCAATCGGTGGACTTTTTCAATATTATGACCTACGATCTCATGAACCGGAGAGACGTAGTCACAAAGCATCATACCGGGGTCGAACTATCTATTGATGCCATTAATGCGTACCTTGATAATGGACTAGCTCCAGAGAACGCTAATTTGGGCTTTGCATTCTATGTGAAGTGGTTCAAGACAGATCCTCAGGGGAACTGCGGCTCGAGCTTACCCATCTGTAAGACCGTTCTGATGGAAGACCCAGAGACGGGAGCCGATCTCGGACAGGCTGGAGGCTTCTCTTGGATCGACACTGTCCCATCCGAAGTGGAAAGTTCGTTCCGAAAAGCTTTGAAAGACGGCAGATATGATGCTGTTCATGGAGGACATTATTACTGGGACGAGATTGAGAACATCTGGTGGTCTTGGGACACCCCAGAGGCAATTCTGAAGAAGTTTCCTTCCATTGTAGAGGAAAAGAAGTTGGGAGGTGTGTTTGCTTGGGGTCTGGGTGAGGACTCCAAGGACTGGGCTCATCTGGAGGCGTTGACGGCGGGTGTCAAACATCACCAGCTTGGTGCCGGTGGCTCGAGAGTATACAGGGACGAGTTGTGATAGTTTGGCATCCCTGGTAACTCAGATACACTCACCACTGAGTCTCAATGTTCAACAACCTCGGCAGCTGAGTTGCGGCTGGAAAACATTTTTGATCCACCCAATAAGAGCGAAATTCATCAAGGATATATAAGATGCAAGGACTCGGAGTTGAAAGTGGTTCAATCTTGGCAAAAAATCAGTCTTATGTTTAATGCCACTTTTTGTCCTTTTTCAGCTCATGTTTCCTCTTTTATCTACCGATCTCATCAAATCACTTTGCTACTTTCCTAACCCATCATAACCACCGCCGTTGGACCAACAGCATATATCTCAATCACCTCTACGTAAATATTCGCAACGATGGGGCTTTACGCAGCCGACTGCCTCGTATATAATGGAATTTGCCATGGTGGTGTAAACAGCGGGTATCATGCCCTCGGAATCGAGCTATCTTGTGCCTGCAGTCCACACAACTTTTGCTATTGCGACCAGACAGCTGCGACATCTGCCTCATCTTACATCTCATCTCGTGTGGATGCAGGGTATGTAAGTCACCAGCGCGAAGGACCTGTACAACGGATATTTTGCGACGACAAATCTTCGCAGACAACTGCACCTGATGTCTACTTCAGTACTTCTTCATCCTTCATCCAAGAGTACACCCGTTCTAATGTCGTCGACTGCGAGTACAATTGCTAATGGAGCTCAAAGCAACACCTTCAAGTAAAGTTAGTCACTCCGGTATCACAGACGCCCAGTGCGAAGAGTGAGAAGAAAGGAATAGCGCAATCAGATGTGATTGCGCCAGCCGCTGGCGGTGGGCTTACCAAGTCTACTCCTAGCTCTGGCTACCTTCTTTTTGCAGAGAAAGAAGACATATAAGCAGCACAGGGCAGTTACAGAGATACGTTACGCAGAGTGAGAAGGGCCACGAGCCTTGGCGGTAGTCCTTCTGCCGTACTTTTTCCTGTTTACTAGGTAAGCTAGACCCAGACACAACATGCTTATTCAACTTTCGATTATCATTGATGTTCAAATATCACAACGGGATAGATTGAGAAAACCCAATTATCTTTAAGCCGTGTTAATTTCAAGCCGGTTTATCATCTCCACGGAAAGGACAGACAGACCCCTCGCTCATTCAACTTACCAACAATCGAGTTTCTTCTTCGGCCAAAATACTCTCCTACATCCGAGCACTCCACTCCATATACCCACTACTCGGCGTCCGTCACAACATAGCACAGTACGGAGCTCACCGTCGCCAAGTTAGTCGAAACCTCGGCCGGGCTCGCCACCCTAAACGGCGCGGTTCCAGGAGTGATTCCCGCCGCGTCTTTGTATCCACGACATTCCACCTGGTTGATGTCAGGGATGTTGGGGTGGACATTGGCATCGACGAGGATTCTCGAAACCGAGACTCCTCCGGCGCCGCCGAGAGCAGTAAGCTTGTTGAGTTCGACGGGGGCTGGCCCGAAGACGTGATTGGGGTCCGTTCCAGACGAGGTTTGGAGTTCGAGGGAGACGCCATAGTAAGTGTCTCTGCGTCGGGGGGCGGCCAGAGTGAGGCCGGTGATGGGGAGCATGTAAGTGAGGAAGGTCATGGGGCGCATTTTGATGATGCTTAGTGGAAGTGCTTTGGGGTTGTGGTGACTTTGATTTGGTGATGAATGTGTTTGAGGTTTTGCTTTGCTCTTATAGACTCTTGTAGGTGTGTCTATGAGACTTGAAACTTCTCACCGGGCTCTCTGATGTTTCTATACTTTTCCAATTTGGCATACGTCTCTCCTCACCTCTTCTCAAGGCGATCCATTCAAGGCGAAGGATATCACGACATGTCGTGTTCGGCCACTCTTCTCTATCAATACTCTACAACACGAGGGAGGCGCGCAGGATTGGGGCTCAATTCAGACGCAGTGAGACGATCTCTTGATTCTTAACGAAGCTCTTACCCAGATCCAGCAAGTTTTACGTCAACAGACGGGAGGGTGACTCGTTAAATACGAAACTTGAAAGATCTCATTGAAGGGATCTCTTTCACGGGCTCCGAAGACTGCATTCTAGCTGTGGCCTGTTGAAATGTTTCTGATCGTTTTAAGGTGAGGGTATAAAAAAAGGGGAAAAAAAAGGGGTAGAAAAAAGGGGGGATAAAGGAGAAGCAAAAAGTAAGCACGCCCGCGCTCCTGCAAATGAGGTGTTAGCAAGCCCGTCCAAGTCAGAAATGCTGAAGTCCGATTTACTGCAGGGTCGGTATTCCACTATACCACAGCGCGGGTCATGTTCACCAAGTCCCCCATTAGATGGATTTATATATTCACCAAAAATGACTTGCCGCAAGCGAAAAATTCCCGCACGCGAGATATCCTCGGTCAAGGTACCATCACGGATCAACGTTCAGACTCGTACACCGGTCATATCAGTCTCGACCACTGGAGATAGCCGTTCGTTATGAGGACACTTCGAGGATCGATTCGGAGTCGGAAGATTGTTTTTGCAGTAAATGCTTACACGGCCGGAATCTCTTCCAAGTATATATATATATCACAAGAAGATCACACCTTGAAAAGGCACATGCGCTCACATCAGCACTCCACATACCAAATTGGGACATTAGTAAGCTCACTGACCCAGCCCGGGAGTATTTCGAAGCTGCCGTGCAGTGCCGTGCAGTGCCATGCAGTGCCATGCAGTGCCATGCAGTGCCATGCAGAAGAAATTTCGTGGTCGGGAGAGAAGCGGTTGCGGCTGTTGACTATCTGTGAACAGGAGGTGAGATGAGCCCTCCATCTGACTACGGAGCAAATCATGCGCATTCGATACAATCAGCTAACTGATTTCGATGTCATGGGAAGCGCAGCTGCTGGACCATGGGGGAGAGGGCTTCCAGAACGCATAATCACTTCCTTGCATATAATAGATTATGAAGGGGGTGCGAGTGATTCGCTCTCAAACACAACGTTTCTCTTCCTTCGGCTTGCGCGTCACTCTCCGAAGATGACTTGGAGTAGGACACGCCGAAGGAGCCACTTGGGGTCTATGGATAATTCCTCTCTCCTATTTGTGAGCTGCGAGATTCGGCAGCATCCATATTTATATAGGAAACCTAGAGGTGTGTTTTCCTGGAGCAATCCCACGAATCTCATCACATCCCCGGCTGGCCTATCATACTCCACACAAAGCGCAGTGTCCTGTCTGAATCCCATCGTTCGCGCGCTTGCCTTTTGGTCATGAAATCCCAGAATAGGCCTTTGCAGATTTATTCCGAATCACCAATGCCTCCCAAGGCCATGGATGACGATGGCTTCAGCTATTCTTGCACGGCGTAGGTAGAGTGAGCAGTCTCCACCGCCCCCTGACCAAGAATCGTCAGCAGTTATCTGCACGATTCATTTTTTGTTGGCTTCTGAAAACTGTCTCCAGTTTTGAGACGCTTTGCCGCGTAAACATCTTGGAAGTCTTCGTCTCATCGTCCCAACGGGGTTGCTTCTGGGCAGAAGAACCTGAAGAAAACATACGTAGTATCTGCCAACATTTGGCAGTGTGTCACTTCATTTGGCAGTGTCACTTGATTTGGACTGCAAGCTCGGCAGCTCTATACGCTACTCAGCGTCAAGATGACGCATAGGTACACTTCAAAAATGTCGGTGTTTTCGCTCACAGAGAAGTCTCTTTGACTGACAACCTTGAAGCCCGTGAAATGAGTTTGGGAGATGTTTTGGGAGACGTTGCAGCATAAAAGTCTTTGAACGAACGGAGAGCTCGCAGAGTCACCGACATCAGGATACGAAAGATCTAACATGTATGAAATGGAGCCCGGTGAAATTAAGTGGCAGTCTGAACGGAGGTACGTAGTACTTCCAAAGCTAAGGCTGATTGATCTTGATTATGATCGGGGCTTGGCTACCTTTACCAGCTTTGTGTACTATTACAAGGCTCGGAAACACGAAGATACGAGAGTTTTGGCGATTGCGCGAGAACAACTTGGCGAGTTGTTACACTGTGGGGGAAGAAGGGGAGGGTGAGGGTCCAGGAGGTAAGTACGTAGCAAATGCGCGATTCGGGTACGGTCCGAGGACGGTCCGTATACGCAAAGACGGGCTCTCGTATACAACGTACAACGTATAGATCAATTGAGACGATTCCATTTGAGCTTCCATTTAAGTTGCTTAAAACTTATATCGTAGAACTACGGTAGAGCTAGGGCTACTTTGGTCCGTGGCAGATTCGAAAATCCGGTCAATAGTCAGTGCGCTGACTGTTTATCTGCGGGCTCTAGGCCCTCGGTTAGCCAGATACGAGGCTTTAGCTTTTAACGTTTGATTTTCTTTGTTTCAGAATATTCTTTGGCTTTTGGCTCTTTCAGGACTGTATACCGAATTGAACCGGGATTCAAACTCAATTGAGGATCAGATGATTATAGCAGCGCTGACCGACGGCATAGATTGGTAGATCGAGGAAGACGGTCGATATTAGTGTACACACACACATAGCCGAGTATTACCTTAGCTCTAGCAGCTGTTTTTAGATCGAATCCTGATCGCAAGCGCTTAGAATGGAGGCGGCGGATTTGACGTGAGCATCGTCATCATCTGCCAGTCCTACTTAGCCCTTCTCCCGTTAAGGCTTCCGTACCCATCAACAGACATTGTCGAGCCCGTAGCCTTTTCATCCCACCATTTAAACTTCCACTGAAACTAGGACTAAAATTGTCCGTGCGATGAGAAATCAGATCGAGACCCCGTGAATCCGCGATGGAAGTTCTTTACATCCGTATCTGGTTTATTACAATATACGTAGTACTACCGGTACTATAGTACGTAGTATGTAGGTAAACTTAGCATATACATGGTACCTAGATTGAGCTAAGGCTAAAATCTCAGACCTTTTGGTGGCCCTACAGTACCGGCATTTACCTTGTAACAGACTTAGGCTATTTTGACCTTGGCTTACTCACCCTGACAGCTGGCTCATAATGTTCTCTCGCAAGCCATTTCGTCCTAGGCGAAAGTAAACACACAGTCAAGGGTTTCAATGAAGCTTGACAAAAGAGTTCCCAAGGGGAATGCAACAGAATCCTCTGAAAAGCTTGCAACATAGCCTTTTCCAAGCCCCTTAGGGGCAGTTCATTTCGCCTGGGATGAGGTAATATGTATGGATCAATATAGCAAAAGGGCTTATCTTGATCCAGACCATGAAGTAGGTATATATCATGCTCTTCTTATCCCACCGGTTCCTCTTACCCTCGTCCATCAAACACTCCCTCAGTCCAATAATTCCCATCAGGTTGATCCATTCTTTAGCTCCTGCGACTTCTTCACCTGAGAAGTAGGTAGATCCACTCTTTCAACATGTTTTCCAACTCCATCATCGCCCTCGCCATCGTGGCATCATGCACCGTCGCCGCCAACACATCATCGTGTGGCTCTCCCGCAAGCACTCCTGCCGCCGGTGCCCCTGGCGAGCTCTCCCTCACGCAAAAGCTCTTCCTCGCGGACACCGCCGCCGACAGATTCGGCCTCCTCACCGATGAACAATTCAGGTTCCCCTTTGGCGACCCAGCCAAGAAGGGCCAGGGCGGTAAGGGAGGCGACCTCATCGCCGCGAACCGGAAAACGTTCCCGGCGCTCGTCGGCTCCGGCTCCGGCATGTCCGTCGGCTTCCTCGGCCCCTGCGGCTTCAACACCCCTCACGTTCACCCGCGCGCCACGGAACTCCAAATCGTCACCCAAGGGCGCCTGGAAGTCGAGATGGTGCCCGAGAACGGCGTCTTCAAAGTCCCCGGCAACAAGACGAGCGGGCGCCGCGTCATCAAGAACTCGCTCGACACCTTCGACATGACGCCCTTCTACATGGGCTCCGTCCACGCGCAGTACAACCCGGACTGCACCGAAGCCGTCTTCGTCGCCGCCTTCAACTCGGAGGACGCGGGCACGGGCCCGGTCCTGGATGAGACGTTCCAGTTCTCGGCCAACCTCGTCTCGGCCGCCTTTGGGCAGGCCATCGACGGCAGCGACGTCGATCAATTCAAATCCCAGATTCCCGCGTCTATCGCCATGGGCGTCGAGGAGTGCCTCACCAAGTGCAACTTGAAGAAGCGCAGCATCTGATGATGACAAGAAGGGGCAACAACTACCAGGTGTGGCATAAAGCGTGGAACAGAACACGGAAAAGGCAGCGATGCCACAACGGCAAATATATTCTTCTTGGAGGATGCTACTAGATGTGTCGAATCCAGCGTAGGGAAAGCGACATGTTTTATCTCTCTCTTTTTCTTGTTCTTTTTTTTTCCGGAGGCGGGGACGGTCCTCGGCGTAATTTTCCGTCTATTTTCCTTATGGTTGACGACATTTTGATGATGATGGTGGTGGTGATCCGGAATCCTTGCTGTTCTGTTCACGGTCGAATCAGGTACGGAGTGTGGTGTTGTCTGAGAGTAGCGGGGAGATGTGTGTTTACTAGAATCAGATGTCTGCTAGAATCAGAGATACGAAACACCCACATCGAGACGCTTCTCTCGATTCTCGATTCCTCCTCTCCTCTCCTCTCCTCTCCTCTCCTCTCGCGGCAGCAGCCTCTGAATCAGTAGCTATGCCAGCTGCATAGCCCCTCGCCTTGCTCAACCAGCGCCCCCCGTCTCCAAAACCCCAACTGCACCTTCATTCAATCTAACTTACCTCCGACACTTACTCACCACTTCGCTTCCACCGTCAAAACCTCCAGTATCACAAAGAAAGAAACAAACAAACAAACAAACAAACAAAACAACAAAACAAGGAACTAAAACCAGAGCCTGGAGCAACCGACAGTCTCTCTCTCAACCCACCAGCTTGGACGGCGATATATATATACAAATATATAAATATAAATACATCTGTCTCGAATCCGCCTGCCTATCCTCTTGATAGATAGCAAAAGACGAGTATAGAACGAACGAACGAACGGTACGGAGGAGGGGGGTGGGAAGAGGGTGCTTATATCCATCCTACTACATACTTACTCGGTTGACTCCTCCTCTTCCTCTTCCTCCTCCTCCTCCTCTTCTGGTACCTACACAAGCCGCGCGCGTATCAGCTCGCTCCGCCCCTCTCTCTACTCCACCACCCATCTAGGAAGGAGCGGTGTCAGACAAGCGCGAGCATACGCACACCTACCACAGGGTATACGAACAGGCGCCTGTTCCTGTTTGTGTCGTTGTTGGATAGAGGAGAAAAGGGGGAAGACGCGGTGCCGTGTGTAAATAGATAGCAGTTGAGACGGACGGCACTGCACCCATTGTATTGAAGATCAGTAAAGCCATGGAAACCGCGGTGGGTAAGGCAGGTAAAGGGAATTAGGGTATCTCTTCTATAAACATATAATAGCCTTAGCAATAAAAGGCACCTTTCTCACTTCGCCAGATGGTATATTCACGGCCCTCCCTGCACTATCCCACACCTGCTAATTCGCAGTCAATATCTCTGCTGCACTGACCTGCACCGGCAAATCCCCCTCCGGCCCGCCCACTCCCCCTTTTGCCACCACCTCCTCTTTCTTCTTCATTCGCATCTCGTCCTCATGGCTCTTGTAGCTCGCATACCTGAGCGAGGTGAGCACCATGAACGCCATAAACAGGATGCCCATGACGGAGCGGCGGGTGAGGACCCAGCGGAGTCCCTCAATCTCGGACTTGCTGTCGCTGTTGAGCAGGACGGTGATCTTGTAGTTGAGCTCTTGGATCTTGGGTTCCTGTTAACGAAATGGTTCCGCGGGACTGCGGTTTCTGAAGGGCCGTAGAAGGGGAAAGGGGGAAGATCTGGATGGATAATTAAACGAACCTTGCTATCCATAGTCCTCTGCTCTGATCGGACAGACATCTTGCGATCGTCAAACATGCCCTTCAAATCATCCTTCAGCGTTAGCAGCTCCTGCGTGAGCTTCTGGTTCAAAATATCCACTTCGTGCTGCAGTAATGTTCTTTCCCTTCTCATCGTCTCCTCGTCTTTCTTGCGCGTATTCTGGATCTCGGTTTTGAGCTCCGAGCACGCTGCTCGGAAGAGATACGTCTCCTATCACACAACCATCATCAGCATTCCTCTCCCAGCATCCAGTACTCTACACCTAGAAAGAGTGGGAGGAAGTGTAGAGACCTACATTCTCAACATCACTCTTGCTAACCAGTCCCCGTCTCGCCATCTCCAGATTCAACGCCAGCAAGCCCCTAACGGCCTTCATAGCCGTCACACTCTGCGCTTCCGTGAACCCCCCCGCCTCAACCTGCTGCACTAGGGTATACGTGTCGAAATGGTGAACGTACGGCGGCGTCTGCAAATGCGGCGGCTTCCCTGCATTCTCCTCCTCCACAGTCTCAGGAGGCGGCATGTGGAGCACGGTATCGGTCGGACCTTGCTGCTCTCCCGTTCCCTTCTCTTTCCCTTGCACATCGCCCCCTTTGCCTTCTCTCTCATCCACCTTGGCTTGCGCACCACCACCAGGAAGCGAAACGCCCTCCTCGCTCGGCGCCCTCGCCGCAGCCTGCGTCTCCTCCGACAAGGGCTCCACTCTCTCTGTCCCTTTCCCTTTCCCTTTCCCTTTCCCCTTTCCCCCAACCTCTTTCTCCAGCTCCAAAGCATTCTTCAGCACCACCTTCCCATCCTTCCCATCATTGCTCTCCCCCACCGCCTCCGGTGTGTAAACCTTCACCCCATCACTACGCTCGCCATCCGCCAAGAACGGCTCAACAGCTTTCCCATGGCGCTGCACGAAGCGCTCCTGTCGTCGCCTTGCCGCCGTAAATAATGACCTGCCCCTTCTCCCAATAACGCCGTTGCCACAGCCACTGCCACCTCTACCCTTACGGCTTGCCTTGAATGGCAGCTGCGGTGTCCATGTCCGCGTTCGGCCGTGGAGGAGGATTGAGGGAGCAGCGCCGGAGGATTCAGAGAGGCGAGCGGCGCGAAAGAAGTGCGGATAGAGGAATGTGAGGCGCGTGCTTGGGGTGGACATTATCTTTATGGTATAGTAGTGAGAGGGTGGTGGGGTGTCATGTTGTGAGGTTGTAATTTTTTTTTATTTGGACTGGCAGGAGTGAGAAACGCGAGTTCTGGACGGGAGATCGGCATGGGTCCCGAGAGGCTTGGCGTTCTGTTGTTGACAGGGCCGTGATGACGATCTGTCGATGGGACAATAAGAGCTGAGGATAGGAAATCTTACAGAGCATGAAATGGATAAAGTATCAATAGATTATTGTTCTACTGATCATGCCATGCTATTAGGTGGTTGCATTCTCTTTCAGAATCGATCAAAAGGCAGGAAAAAAGGCCCAATTATATGTATCTGTGCATTTCCGTATACATATAAGAATGTTAGAGTAGAAGCCCTCGATTCGTCATTCCTCTCGAAAACAGTGCTCCGGACATATTTTAGTACTTTGTTCCATCCATATATCATCGTCAACAGTTAATATAAGTTCTTGCAGAGATTTCCCTTAAATATCTTTCTTATGCTATCCCGTCACCGCTTCACAACATCCTGCAGTGCCCCCTTAAATGCATCCACAAAATCCCAACAATCCGTAAAAGTGTTATACAATGGCGCCGGCGCAACGCGTATGACGTCCGGCCTCCTCTCATCAACCACAACCCCCCTCTTTTCCAAGCCCTCCATAGTCTGATCCAGCAACCCCGGCTGCAGCTTCAGGCTCAGCTGTGCTCCCCTCGCTTCCGGGTCGCTAGGCGTGATGATCTCAAATCGCTTCTCCTCATGCTCTTTCATTTCTGTGAGCAGCTTCTCGAGATACGCAGTAAGCTTCACAGACTTTTCCCGCAAAGGACTGATACCGCCAGCAAGGGCGAAGACTTCGAGAGACGCGGTGATGCTCGTGATGTCTAGGATGGAGGGGTTCGAGAGCTGAAAACCTGCAGCGCCGGGGATGGGAACGAACTTGTTGTCCATAGCAAAACGAGAGGACTTGTCGCTTCCCCACCATCCGCTCAGCCTGTTCACAAATACTTTCTTACCGGTTTCTGTAGTGACTTGACCATTGCGTTCATGAACGAATAGCCCACCGTCAGCGCCGGGTCCGGAATTTAGATACTTGTAGCTGCACCATGCGGCAGCGTCAACGTTCCAGTCGTGGAGCTTGAGCGGCACGTTACCGACTGCGTGGGCGAGATCCCAAATTACGAAGATGCCTTGCGCCTGGGCCGCGGCGGTGATGGTAGGGATATCGAGGAATTGGCCGGTGTAGAATTGGATACCAGGGAGAAGGAGGAGAGCCGTGGTTGAGCCGTGCTCTTCAATAACAGAAATGATATGTGATGTTGAGAGAGGTGGTTGGGGGAATGCGGGTGCTTCAATTGTGATTAACGAGGTCTCGGGAGAGAGACCATGGTGACGGACTTGTGATTCTGCTGCAAACTAATCTAGTTAGCGACAGCGGGTGAGGAGAACTTGGTCGACGAATACGTAAGATTAGGCCATGACCCTCATCACTCGATTAGGAGCTTCGGGAGAAAAGCTCGCCATACGCAATCCAAACAGACAACATGGGTACCCACGTGATCAGACGGGAACGCCTGGCTCTCGATTATGATCTTATGACGGCCATTGATATCTGGTTTGTAAAATGCAGACATCAGAAGGTGTAGATTTGCCGTCAATGTTTCCATGACGGCCACCTCGGAAGGAAGAGCCCCGACGATAGGAGCAATAGCTCCCGAAGCCTTCGCGTCCGCATCGAGCCAGGTCGGCAAAGGGCTCTCGGCAAGAGGCTTGAAGTGGCCATAGACACCCTGTGTTGCCCAAGTTGCAAAGTACTGTTTTATACGTGTCGACACCCGACGGGGTTGCAGGCCCAGGGAGTTTCCACACAAGTAAACAGAGGCTTCGGACCCCGAGGAGTCACGAGCTTCTAACACCATGATATTAATAACCATGACTCGGCTCTGACATTCCCATGTCCAGGGCGCGGGAGGTCGGGTGACTTACCCGCCTCTGGCAATGACTTGATCTTCAATTGAGCTTTGGAGGGGATCAGGAACTCCTCTCTTGTGTGATGTAGAGAATCTTGGGCATCAAGAGACACAGCGTACTCTCTGCTGGTGCTGCTACTCTACCAGTAAGCGAAGTCCAAGTTCAAAGTCCAAAGTCCAAACTCCACTGGCGACTGCAAGTGCCAAGGGTGTTAGATGCGGTAGGTAAGCCAAACCATCTTCGCTTGGGAAAATTGAGTTCCCAGACGTGATGATGATATGTATGATACGACCTACCGGTACACAAACTGGCTCTGCTCCTCACGAGACGACGACATGGCGAAACGTAATGCGAAACAAAGCTCCTCACGCCAGGTGAGCCAATTCTCGCAATTCTCTTGGGGCAATTGGTACTTGATCGGCGAGGTCGGGGCGATGTGTAATGAGTGGCAGATGCACAGGTTTGTATGGTGCCATGGAATGTGGGGTTGAGAAGGAACGGTGCCAGACGGGGGAATCGTGGATGCGTGTTGACAATGTGGAATCCAATGTTCTTCGATGCTGCACCAATTTCGTCTTCGTCTTCTATTGTTGGATCTGATTGATAGATGGGTAGTTTTGATTACCCCTAGGAAATACCTTCCGGGTCCAGGTCGTGGCGTAGTTGCGTAATTGCGGGGGAGGGGTTCGAATGAAGATGGCCGTCACGGGATCGAGAAAGTCAGCTGGCGTTCGGGTCTACCGGTACTCTGTAGGCCGTTTCAAGCCGTCTCGGTCGCGGGCGACGACGCTTAGCCAGGGCACAAGGCGTTCACGATTGAACAACCACATGGAAGAAATGAGGCGAGATGCAATAATCTCTGACACGACAACAACTCCGAACGTACAGAGACAGTCCTGAGAGCAAGAGGAATGGAGGATCCAGGCCAGGCCCGGGCAGGGCAAGGGCAAGAGCAAGAGCAAGAGCAAGCATAAGCTTAAGCTCAAGCCCAGCCCAGCCCCAGCCCAAGCCCAAGCCCAGGCCCTCGTCTCTCTGCCACTCAGGTCCCGACCGCGTACCAACGTGATGTTATTGCTCAATGCCCCGACCCCCGACCACATATCCCCACCTCTTCTTCTCCAACACCCCTCCTGCCCTCACCTCATCCATGCTCGATGCGAGGTCCGGGCAGACCAGAGCCGATACGAGCTATGGATATATAAACAAGGAGCTTCTCTCTCTTCTTGCTTTACAGCTTCTTTTGCTCCTCCACCAATCTTCACGCCTCACTCCTCTGCCCGACTACCTACCTACCCTACATCCTCTCCACCCTCGTCCACCTCTCTGCCTCCCCCCCCCCCCTCCATCCCATCCAGCTCGACCAAACCCATCTACGGCCGAACACTGTACTACTATACTATACGCCCACCCGAACCCCTTACCACACTTTCAATTGTGCCAGGAAAGATCTATCTGTGGGTCACGGCAGCAACGCAGGAACCCGGCCGGTATCACCAAGCCAAAACCAAAAACTCCTTCATTCCGACTCCCCGGCCTCTCTGGAACCCCCCTTTCATATCCCAATCCCAATCCCAATCTCAATCCCTATCGCTATCCTGACCCCGGTATGTCCCAAGGCTTCCTTCCTTTGTCCTCTCATTCCACAGACCTCCCTCTTTCCTCTTATCGCTCGTATCAATTTAATTTCAGCAAGGGGGCACTGCTGACGATTCAAGATATCAAACCGCCTCACCTCCCCGTACCGCACCAGGAGGTACGTGTGTCGTGTGCGACCCAGACCTGGTGGCTTCGTGCGGTCACTGCTCAGATAAGAGAAAAACAAAAAATATAAAAAAGTAAGTCGGGAAGATTGTGCCAGGGCGGGGGCAGCTCCTAAACATTGATCTCTCTCTGCCTTGCTGTTCATTCCTGTTTCTCGGTCCTGTTTCGGATGTGCCTTCCGATCTCCTCATCGTTCGGCATATCTTTTCTCTCGTCGCCGCTAGCCGAGGCGACGGTGACTATATCTTGTGCATCCAATGTCCTCCTCTCTCTCTCTCGAACTTCAACATCTTAAACGACAAGACTCTTGAAACTCAACACGGCTGACATGGCGGACTCGCAGTTCCCAGACTTCTATGAGCCAGTTGGTTCCGATTTCGAACTCGATCAACAGAAAGGAAACATGACGACCCCAATCCGCTCTCCCTCCCACAAGGTTCTTGATGACCTTGCCAAGAGCCCAGAGCGACACCTCTCTCCTCAAGCAATCCACTTCAGTGTGCCCCACAAGAACGGAAAGAATGGCAGCGGTAACGGACACAGAATCTTACGCTCTCCCACGGTGGGATATATTGCTCCAGAGTTCAAGGGAAAGCACGCCCAGATGGTTGAAGGTAAGAACTATCTTCCGTTTGCACCGCGGGCTGTAGAAGAAGTCTGCGGTTCCTCTCCAAGGAATCCTGGGCTTGCCAGTGGCAACCAGGATGATGTATTTCGAATCTTTGGTCGCCAAATCATGACGGGGGGATCATGTTGATTTCTGTGTCTGTCCAATGCTTGATCAACACCTTCCCCAAACTTCTCCCACTCTCCTTCTCACACGCACACGCACCCTCAATACCAACCCAACCTCCAAGCAACACTTACCTAACTCCCCAATAGTCAAAGCTAAGATTGAGGCCAGCTCATGGATTCCCCAGCCCCTCATCGACGCGCAGATTGCCTGGTTCTACAACGAACTGGGCATCGACGACGTCTACTTCGAGTTGGAGACCCCGGACGCGATTGTGAGCAACATCGTCTCCCTCTACGCGGCGAAGATCGCGGCCTTCGCGCGAGAGGACCGCCGACAAGAGATCAAACTCGACATGGAGGCTGTTGATCATGCAATCTACATCGATACCAGCGAGCCTGGCGTCACCAACCTCGATGGCCCCCGCTACGAGCACCGCTTGGAGAAGAGGTATCTCGACTCCTCCTCCACCAGCACCTTCCGCGTAGAAACCTTTCGGTCGCCGACCAACTTGGCCGGCACCGAACCCGCCAAGACAACTATGCGCTGTTACTTCGTGTACGAATGCCAGTTTGTCGACCCGAACCCCTCGCCTCAAGAGACGCGTCTTGAGGTCATCGCAGATCGACTCTTCCTCGCCAAGGCGACGAAGAATACCAAGGAGATTTACCAAGATGTAATTGAGTGAGTCAACCAGGCAGATTTTGTCCGGTTTTGTCCCGTCTCGTGAGCAGTTTGCGCTTGCAGCCAATCCCGATAACCTCCAGATTGCGTATCTGCTGACTCCGGTATTTTACAGACTAGCGGTCTCAAGAAACGGTCCCGTAATCGAGGTCTTCGACATCGAGGATTCCAAGGAGAAGAGACTCGTCGTCGCGTTTCGTCGGAGAACCGCGGAGGGTTTGTTCAGCGCACTTTCTGATCTGTACCACTACTATGGTGTTACCAGCTCTCGCAAGTACGTCGAGCAATTCAGCAACGGCATAACTGTCATCTGCCTATACCTGAAGCCTGCTCCCAATGTGGATGCGAAGGTAAAGTTTCCTCCTCTCGAGGCCTCCATCCACCAAATCACCAAGGAGATCTCTCTGCTTTACTGCATCCCACAAAATAAGTTCCAACCCTTGTTTGCGAGTGGCCGACTCAGCCTCCAAGAGACGGTCTATGCGCACTGTCTCATGGTTTTCGTCCAACACTTCCTTAATCGCCTTGGTTCTGAATACGGATCGTTGGTCTCTGCTCTTGATCCTACGAATAGTGCTCATGCCGAACTGCTGTCAAAGATCAAGAAGCGATTGAGAGCTCAGACCTTCACCGCTGGCTACATTCACGAGATCATCGGCATGTATCCCGAGCTGATCCAATCTTTGTATGCGTCTTTCGCAGCAACCCACCTCACCATTGGCCCTGGCTACGAGGAGGACACGATCACCCCAACCCCTTCTTTCGCCGCTCTTTCGGACGCTCAGCTCAAGGACCTGATTATCAAGACCTGCAGCAACGAGCACGAAATATTGGTCATGGACGCGTTCTGCACGTTTAACAACGCGCTCCTCAAGACCAACTTCTACACCCCGACCAAGGTCGCACTGAGCTTCCGTCTCAACCCCAGCTTTCTACCCGCCATCGAGTACCCTCAGCCCTTGTATGGCATGTTCTTAGTGGTCAGCTCCGAGAGTCGCGGTTTCCATCTCCGCTTCCGTGACATTGCCCGAGGAGGCATCCGCATCGTCAAGTCGCGTAATAAGGAGGCTTACGCCATCAATGCCCGCTCCATGTTCGATGAGAACTACGGATTGGCCAACACCCAACAGCGCAAGAACAAGGACATCCCTGAAGGAGGATCGAAGGGTGTCATTCTCCTCGATGCCGCTCACCAAGACAAGGGTAGTGTTGCATTCGAAAAGTACATTGACAGCATCATGGATCTCCTCCTCAAGGCCGAGACTCCGGGAATCAAGAACCCCATTGTTGATCTCTACGGCAAGCAAGAAATCCTCTTCATGGGTCCTGATGAGAATACCGCCGACCTCGTTGACTGGGCTACGGAACATGCTCGTTCGCGTCGCGCTCCATGGTGGAAGTCTTTCTTCACCGGCAAGTCTCCCAAGCTTGGTGGCATTCCTCACGACGCGTACGGTATGACCACCCTGTCCGTTCGTGAGTTTGTCAAGGGTATTTACCGCAAGCTTGAGCTTGATCCCAGCAAAGTCCGAAAGATGCAGACCGGAGGACCCGATGGTGACTTGGGCAGCAACGAAATCCTTCTCAGCAATGAGAAGTACACCGCTATCGTTGATGGTAGCGGTGTCCTAGTCGACCCTAACGGGATTGACCACGAGGAGCTGACTCGTCTTGCCAAGGCACGCGTCATGATCTCTCAATTCGACATCACCAAGCTCTCGGAGGCCGGATATCGCGTCCTGGTCGACGAGATTAACGTCAAGCTTCCAAGCGGCGAGGTTGTTGATAACGGTACCAGCTTCCGCAACACTTTCCACCTTCGTGATACCGGCCTGACCGACTCTTTTGTTCCGTGTGGTGGCCGTCCCGAGTCTGTCGACCTTTCCACAGTCGGCAAGCTCATCAAGAAGGGAAAATGTACCATCCCCTACATCGTCGAAGGCGCTAATCTCTTCATCACCCAAGATGCCAAGCTCCGTCTCGAAGACGCTGGCTGCATTCTCTTCAAGGACGCGTCTGCCAACAAGGGCGGTGTGACATCCTCTTCCCTCGAAGTCCTTGCTTCCTTGTCCTTCGATGACAAGGGCTTCGTCGACAACATGTGCGTCGGCGCCGACGGTCAAGCACCCGCATTCTACCAAGCTTACGTCAAGGAGGTGCAAGCCAAGATCAAGGACAACGCCCGCTTAGAGTTCGAGGCCATCTGGCGCGAGCACCAGCAGACCAAGATTCCCCGCAGCACCCTTTCCGATACTCTCTCCATTGCCATCACCAAGCTTGACGAGGAGTTGCAGAAGACGGAACTGTGGAAGGACGAGAAGCTCCGCAACTCGGTCCTCCAGGATGCCTTGCCAAAGCTTTTGCTCGAGAAGATTGGTCTAAATACTATCATCGAGAGAGTGCCAGATAGCTATCTGCGGGCTATATTTGGCAGTTACTTGGCGAGTCGGTTCGTGTATGAGTTTGGAAGTGCGCCGAGCCAATTTGCGTTCTTTGACTTGTGAGTCGCATTCTCCCCTCTCCCCTCTCCATATCTACATGTGCAAGACTAACTAGATCGCAGCATGTCAAAGCGCATGCAAAAAATCCAATAGGCGCCTTTTCCTCGCTCACGGATCCCTCGTTCGCATTTCTTAGCCTTGGCTTTCCCTTTCTTCCCTTCTTGCATTCAGAAGGATTGAAAAAGAATGGAACACAGGATGGAGGCGGCGTTACTTGAAGCTCTTTGCATTGCATCACAGGCGTTTTCGAGTCTAGCAAATAGATTCTCTGGAGTTATCCTTCCGTGTGGCTGGCAGGAGAAAGTGCTTTACCTGTCCAGCACGCCTTTATTTTTGCTTTCTAGAGATAGATAACTACGTTCGTTTGTGCGTTGGCATGACTTGCGTGACGTCGATGTGCGTGGCCACGGAGGTTGGCTTGGCTTTTGTAACAGTACCCATGAACTTGGTGGTGGAGTGATGAGATCACGGTTCTCACCGAGATTTACTAGATGTATGTAGACTCGATTCACCTACAATGCATCCTCGGAGTCCTCCAGACATTTGAGGATCTCGATACCAACCGCACGCACAATCTAATCGATGAATGGTGACGCGGACTCTTGTCTGCCCTGCTACTGTGGCAAATTGGCAATTGGGCAATTTGGTAGCCCTGCTTTGCTTGCTCCTATCGTCCTAGTTGTACGACGTGGGCCGGAGTTTCCTCGATTGACGGAAAGTTGTACTCCGTACAGCAAGATGAGGAGTAAACGAATGAATGAGTGAATGGTGGTACATTGAGATGTTCATCATTCCCCCCCTCCCCTTTTCCTCCTTTTCCTTCTTTTTCCTTCTTTTTTCCTTTTTTTCCTTTTTTTTTTTTTCCTTTTTTTCTTTCCTTTTTTTT